TGCGGAAGGAAGGAATGCATTGTGGAAGCATAACTAAAATTAAAATACTGTGTGGCATTATTTAAAAAACTTGCTCTTTCTGCTTGAGAAAGGCCCACTTGTCAGTATTCTCTTTATTTGCCAACATACGTGGCTTGCAGCGCTGTGTCTGTTACTAAGTTGTGACAGGCTAGACTGTTGTAAAGCAAGGTACTTTGCATAATTAGTATGACGACGTGAACAGATGAGCACTAATTCTTTGAAGTTAATGATTGTCAATTATCTTCCCTTTTTTTTTTGGATCTGGTCCAAGGTTAGCAGAATATAAAGTACCTCAATGCATAGTTTCTTAATTGGCCCAAGCAGGCTTTTTTGCCAGATGCCACCCCAAAATGTGGCTTTGCCTTCTGACCCGCCTTCATCAGCAGTCGGATCAGCTTGCTGCTGTTTGAAAGTGTTATTTTTTTAATTCCTGGGCTAAGGTTTGTTTGGATCTGTAAGCTGATTGACTTGACACATGGCTTCAAGATTGTTAGTGCAGATACAAAGGCAGTGGGAAGGGTGAGACCGGCCGTTGCAGCACCCTGGGCTCTTAGACTGGCTTAAAACGATGTAGAAATCACATCATCTGTTCAAAAGTGCACACTGGAAAAATTCTCCCTTCACCTACTTCAAGTTCTTACCCACTTCTAAAGCAGCCTGGTTGTCTGTGGTTGTCTCCTTTGATATGGTAGGATAAGTAGCTTGCGGTTCACATCTTGCCCAAGTCATTGAAGTCCAGGAATTGGGGGCTTCCTTAGAAAGGCTTCATATAATTGTATTTTCAAACACACCTAATGCTGATTTTTCAGCAGCAAGCTACTGTAAAATTTAGTTGTGGTTATGTACGTGGGTGGATCCGGAGCCACATCTTCCAGGAAAGCATCCTGAAGCCCAGATGGTTACGCCATTGTGCGGAGGTTGTTCTTCATTGTTTCTGTTTGAAATTGTGTTACTGTGGTAAAACGAAAAGGAGTAAAAAGTCAGTACCCTTAATAGGGCGCTTGCTTTGGAGGCGGGAAAAGTCATGGATTTTTGTTCCCAGGACAGTTTCTTTGTTTTTGTCAGATGACTGTTAAATGTGAAATGCAAGAAAATGCCATTTTTTTTCTCTGACTTTATACACAGTTTAGCCTGTATTGTTTAAAAGCATGTAGTAAGAATTCTAATTATTCTCTTCACTATTTCTGAATAATGTCTTTCTTCAGACACAGAAGTCTTCTGTTTTTAATGTCAGCCTTTGAATGTAATGATTTATACACACTTGAAATGACGCTGAAAATGTTTCAGTGAGGAAGCTTTTTAAAAGATTTCTTTCATAGAACCACTTCTTTAAATGAGGTAAGGAAAAATACTCTGCTGAAGGCTGTTTAATATCAAGATTGAAATAAACATCTTTATGGTCACATGTCTGATTACAAAATAATGAACATATAATTTGCCCTACGCTTATTCCATTTATGTCCTGAAGGAAATGTAGCACTGACATTCCACTTTACTGGGCATAAGTTTTTTGGCAGCTTAATCAGAGAATTTTATAGATTTTTAAGGGGTGCACCAAAGTTGTAATTTCTGTGAAAGATAGTGAAAGTAATTCTAGGAGAGTAGAAATCCCAACCTTAAATCAAAATTTAAGGAGAGAAAGAAATACCCAACCCAGAACAAACATGCAAGTACTTTCCTCCCCCAATTTCTCTTCCCCTTTTCCCCCCACCACAATTTACTTGGACAGATCAGAAAATACTTTCACAGAGCTTGTGAAGGTAAAAACGTGTCTTTTGCTTTGCTCTGGTCTCGTTGCACAGGCTCATAACACTACCTTTAAAGGATAAACATTTGATGAGGCCTCCCTTTTGTTGAAGCTGTTAGTGTGAAATTAAAATGTAAAGATTTTAGGAATAACTTACCTTGTATCATATAATAATATTTTTTAGTAAATGGGAGTATCCCCACGAGTTACTGACAAAGAGTTTTCGTACTTGTTGTTTGTCAAATTAAGATCCAACCATTCCTTTTAAAAAGTGATCTGTATGGGGGGGGAGAAATTATAGCAAAATCAAGGTAATTATTCCTGCTATGTTTATAATGCATAAGAGGTTTTAAAAATATTTTACAATCCAGAAAAACCTGTCTTTGACTGGAGAATTACTTAAACTTGCCCTGAGAGTAAACATTGAACACAAGTATTGGAAGGATTCTTTTTGTCTTGTTTCCGAGAGGAGTTGACTGAAATTCTACTTCTTGTGTCTTTAGATTGGAAGCATTATTAATATTTTTTCTGGTGACAGTTTCTTTTCTCACTCTGAGCAGAATCAGGAAGATGCATCCTCTGATACAGTAAATGTTTTAATAAAAGTCAGTCTGGAAGCTGCTCGTTGTGTCACTGCAGAAGTCCTTGGGCAGGCAATCTCAAAGTCCTTCTGATCTGCCCTTCAGATAGTCTCGGGAAGCACAGGTTTCTCTTAAGCAGTCCTTTGCAGATAGGTTGAGAAGCACTTTTCTTCTCATGCAGACTTTGTACATAAAGTTCCTTCCATTTTCTTGTGGTGTATGGAGGCTCTAGCGATTCTACTTGCCTGCAGCTTGCCCTTCAGTAACTGTAGGCTTGTTTGCATCCTAACAAATAAGTCAAATTATTTTGCTAGACTCTTTGCTGTGGGTACAATTTTTTCTACTCTTGATCTTGTGACTTGGGAAGTGTGAAAATGTGAGCACTGTATAGCTTGCCATAGTGGATCATCTCTCACCTGGCTGCTCGGGGCTCCTGTTTAATGCTGGGACAAAAATCTCTCAGAATAAGATTCAAAACCTTGGGTTTGGATAGCTGTGAGATTCAGTTTTAGGTTAAGTTTTAAAGAACTAAGAGTTAGAAGTTGCTAAAATGTGCAGCATAAAGTTCAGTGTTTCTTTCATGGGCTTCATAGCATCACCTACATTAGCAACAACATCTGACAGTGCCTGATGAGGTGTCTTTCTGCTGTCATCAGTGGCTTTAATTTCTGTATCTAAGACTGGGCCAAAATATCTGTTCATACATACAGTGGATTGATTGTGATACAGTACAGCGTACGGAATGAATTTAGAAGTTTCAGACAAGAAGAGTTGAGAGATTCAGAACTCGAATAGGCAACCTAAAAATGGGGGAAACCAAAACAAAACTGGAGTGGTTTGCACTGATTTTGTATTTCCTATGAAAGTATCTTCAGCTGTTGTCTGTCCTTTACTGTGGGTGTTGGAATTGCACTTAGATTAGCTATATTGTAAACCTTTAGTGTTCCTCTTGTCTTTCAGAGAAAGTAGAACATGATGATTGTAGTATTGCTTAAAGGATCTATTTGCTTTTTACTTGGTTTGAGATGCTGTGAAAGTAAATGAACTATGAAAATAGGAATACTTGACCTTACTTTCTTGTTTGTTTGAGCTGAGCATAAATTTAGCTCTGTTTGTTTTTCTGTAAGAGACATTTGTTTCCTAGAGCTGAACAGCTCACAGTCATATAAACAAGAAAACACACTCACCAATAGCAGCAGTGAAATTTCTTGCCCTCTATCTATACTAAAACAAACTCACAAAATGTTGCCTAGATGCACAATTTATGTTGCTTTCTGGCTTTTGTAGCTGATTGTGTTTTTTTGCCTGGTTTAAAGATGCATCTTGGACAACTAAATTAAACTTTATATATAACAATTCATTTTGATAATGAAAATCTTGGCAAGACTTGGTATTGTTTTGTTTGTTTTTACTGTAGATTGATTATTGAAGATTAGGCTTAGAATTTTCCCTAACTGTTCATTTTAGAAAAAATGTCGTGGTTTTAATACAGAAGTTATGAGAGACGCAACATATACCTTATGAAAGTGATCTAGCTATTTCTTTGAATAGAGAGGGGAAAAAGTTCCTGCTCTTACAATTGCATTAAGTATTATTCATGTAGAGTTGTTTTGAGCAGTGGTTTACTGTCTGACTGGAAACCCACTAGTAGAAGTTGAGTTTGTTAATTTGTCTTGCAGGAAAAAAAACTTTCTTAAAAAGTGACACTCTTCAGGATTTCAGCTTTTGTTATGTTAAATTAGAATTTTGGCTCCATACATTTCCACGATGAACTAAATAAAATTTTAGAGGGTAATGCCAGATGCAAGGAAGAACTGTAACCTGAAGCTTAAATAATAAGAGAAAATCCCCTGGTTAGGAGCTGTCTGTCTGAGAATGCTCTCTAAAACTGCCTTTTCTGTCTGAAAGTTCCCTCGGTTCTGCATTTCTGCTTATGTATGTGCTTGTAATAATGACGGCGTGACCCATTTGAGTCTTTGTGATAGTGGTGAGCAAAAGCATCACCGGGACACCACAGGTAGCGTGACACTGGTGCTTTATTAACTGAGGACATGGATGAGACCCTGTGGGTTTGTGAGTGGAGGCAGATTTCTCTGTGCCTTACCCCCTTCTCCCCAACACGAATATCACACTTTTTACTTGGATTTTGTAAGAGACCTGGGATGTGTCTGTATTATGTAGTTGCACTGGGTCCGATAGTGCCAGAGGTGCTGAAACTCTCTTTTACAAATGCCTCTTGAGATGTAGGAGCCACTGCAGACCCTCCCTTGTCAGCTTTTTCCTTGGGCATTGCCTGCCCCGTGTTGCTTTGCTCTCTACTTCTGTGGTAGAGAAAGGACTGTTGCTGGCTTGGTGAGAGGAAACTTGAGCAGAAGCTTTTGCTAGATGTTAGAGATGACCAGGGCACTCAGAAGGGATAGTTACAGGTTCTAGTCTTCTCTCAAGGCTATGTACTTCATCTTTTAGTGGACAAAAATAATCTGGGTATGGTTTGATATGAGGTCTCAATGTATTTCATACGAAAGATACCCAAATTGAAGTGTGTCCACTTAGTTTCTATAATAAAGAAAAAGCCATGTCAACTCTTTGGCCTACCAAATTTGAGTACTTCAAAACACTGACCTTAAGGACAAATTCTCTTTCTTTTGCAGCTGCAGCCGCCTTCGAAACATTCAGAGAATCCTGACGCAGAGCAGCAAATCTCAACCTGATGGAATCCTTTGCATTTTAGGTTAGTTTTACTTTTGTTTCCCCCCCATTTTGTTCTCACTGTACTGATAAAGATGCAATGAGTTTCAGAAAGATGAAGGTCATCTCCTTCCTGTTGCAAGCCCCAGCCCTTTTTCTCATTTGAAGGACAGTGTTCTGATTGTCACACTCTTTTCTCCCTAAATATTTCTTAAGCCTATTTATTAATTTCAGGCAAACTTGCTACAAAGGTAGTAATATCAACGTTCTTGCAAGCCTTATGAAAATTCAGCGGCTTGAGGAAAGAGAGAATCTTTGTTAACATCCAAATTGAAGGAAAGGTGGAGACAATTTAATCCACATTTATTTGGAGTAAGAATTCAGCTGCCTAGGCAGTGTTTGCTTTCTAGATGGTGCTTGGCATAAAAGCTCAAGGCTGAAGGCACAAGTGTTACAGCTGGTTTCCCAGTGGAGGTGGGAAAGTGGAAGGAATTAGGAGGTGCTGGGGTTAAGGAAGTGGAGAAGATCAGAAGGATCATGATGTTCGGAGCGATGGAGGGGTGGTGGCTGAGAGCAGGCTTGGCTTATAAGAGATGCAGAGGGGGAGGGAATAATCAGAAATCTGACAGAATTAATAAAATGTGAACTTAGGGGAAGGGAGGTCTTGCCTCAGGAGAAGTAATTCAAAATGCATTTAAAGAGTCACATGAGAAACCCGGGAAGCAGTTACGACTTAAATGGTGGCATATAAACAGCATGTCATTTCAGTGCTTTATTTCTTCGGAGGTAGGGAGAAAAGGGTGGTACAAGATAAAGCCGCATGTGCAAGTACTCTGTAGGAAAGTTTTTGTACTGCCTAAACATCATTTCTGTGTGTAAGATTGACTCTTGTTTCTTATACATAATCTGTATCAAGGTATTAAAGGAAAATCTCAGGAATGATGCTTGAAATTCCTTAGAGAAAAGGACTGAGGAGTAATTGTTTGAATAATGGCTTACACTTAAGGATGGAGAAATCTAACGTTGCCCTAAAGAAGCTATGTGTGGTAACAGGCTTGCATTAAGAAATGATACAACAGCCTGGTTCTTTAGGGGTTTGGTGTGTGGTGTTTTTTTTGGTGGTGGTTTGGGTTTTTTTAATGATGTATCAAGAAAACTTGAAGATAATGTTCCCAACCACAAAAAAGTTGTAAATGTGTATAACCTAGTTCTCTCTTGGTGAGTGCTAACTGTATAACATGACTCTTCCTATCCCCCATTCTCTACGGTAAGAGTTTAAGAAGTCTTTGGCTAAGTAGCAACTTTACAGCTAGAAGGTCTGTAAGGTCACTGTGTCAACCTTTGGTGAAACTTAATCATACAGGATAAAATAGTTGTTTTTTGTCTTTGATGCTAGACTAATTTCACAAAATACGTCATTGTGCTGTCTTGCCACTGACTGTAGTATTTCTTGACTATTGTTAACTCTGAAGCTGCAGTAAGTCCCAAGCAAAGAATAGTCACTCAAAGCATTGTACAGCTTTAGGGAAGGCATTACAGGCAAAAGGAACTTCTTTGTGTAATCCGCAGTGTAATGTGGAGAATTTAAGTCCATGCATAAGACCATACCTCTTAATAAGTAAGCATTTCTGTTACAGAAATACAGGAAGTGTGTTTCATTAGACTAGTGCTTTACACTAATCTCTTTCAGCACCCACAGTGGAACCGTTCTTGTCTCATCTGACCTGTGTAATGTAGCTTGCAGAATTTTTCACATAAATTCTGATTAAGCAGTCATGTCACTCCGTTATAAATGTGTTAAGTCTGTCTTCAAATACAAGCTTCAGATGACAAAAATTATGTAGTCTTACATTTTGAGTCCTGTTGACTTCTCTGGAAAGCAGATACTCATAACTCTGTTTTTCTTATAGTCAGTGCGTGCTATATTTCACTTGGCTGTCTTTAATGACCTAGAGTTAATGCATTTCTCTCACCCTGACTTTAATTTTACATACTGGGCTGTGAGATAAAAACAATATAAACTTTATATATTTATATATAAATATTGATGTACAATAGAAATATAAACAATATAAACCTCTCTTCAAGTAGATTAATATTTATACTGACATTAAAACCATTTTGAGAGTCCAAAGAGAGATGACCAATTATTGATACAATTATTTAAATAGTAGTTACAGCTGATTTTTTTTTATAAGAATTCTGTAATTTTACTTTGAAGCAGTTGAATGGTAGCGTTCCTGCATTCTTTGCCAGGGAGAAAAGGCATCGCAACTGACGGGGGAAAAAGCAATTTGGAGGTTGGCATGTCAGACATCTTAAAGCTGGGATGTCTCATCTGAAGTGTGTTGGTGTTAAAGCAGCTAAGAAAAGAGTATATCAAAATACTTAAAATATTCTCTGAACTGTTTTTTTTTAACAGTGGTGTTTCTTGCATCTTACCTTTTCAACAGAGATTTTCAGCTCACAATTAGGTTGATCTGATTTCTGAGGATATGTATTTAGTTTCCATAGGGTATGTCTATAAATCTGAGTGTGGTTGTGGCTGTTCTGATTGTAGATCAAACTGTTTCACAGTTCAGCATAGCTAAGCAAAGTTTTGAAAGACCTTGATACTTATTTTTTACCCTCCCTGAAGAGGACAGGAATACTTTAGAGGCTGTACCAGTAAATCTTTTAAGTTTAGTTTATATTGGTTCTGTTCATATATTACTATTTTGGTAGACTTCCATTTTTTTTCTCCATTATATCCATCCTACACAAAGCTCTTGCTCTTAGGACGTTGGAGAAACTTTACCAGCATTTAGTACATTGCACTGATAGTTCATGCCATTCCCTTTCCAAATAGAGACTATTTTAATGATTATTGTGCCACTTCTGACAGCAGTTCCACAACTGCATGTTGGTTTGGGGCAAATGTCTAAAGGTGATCTGGCCATTCTCTCCAGCCTCACCCTCCTGCTGCCTCCCTGGGGTCCCTGGAGCTCACGTGGCTGTTGAATGTGTTATGATACAGCTATTTGTTTTGATACCCAAGGATGTGTCTGAAGTGTATGGCTGGGACAAAAAGCAGGACTTTTTTTTTTACCTGTAGGCTGTGTTTATGTGAGCTTAGCAACTGTGAAGTAGCACACAGATGGCTGAGCTGAGTATTTTTTGCTGTGCAAGAGGGGAGTCTTGGCCTGCCTCTAGACTGCTCCTCTTCCCTTTCCTCTCTTTTCTTCCCACATGCATTTTACATCAGTTCTAGTTTGATATCTTGCACCCGCTTCACCTTACTGAGCAGACACTTTATTTTTTCTTTTTCCCCCCCTCTTTTATTTGGCCAGACTTGTTTTCTGCCAATTTAGCAAATTGAATCAGCTTGCTCAGAGGTCAGATGAGCACTGGCTGCAGGAGAAGGAGCAGGAATGGCTCTTCGAGCAGCAGTGAGCTGTTAGACTGAGACATTGTCTAACTACAACCTTGTGATGAGTTGGGAACTGGCTGGGAGTTACTAAACTCCCAGCTCAGCTGGAGACAGGCGTGGGGGGGTTCCTAATTAATAGCTTTCCCCATTGTTCTGTTGAGGACTCATAATATGCTTTCTGGAGGTATCTTATCTTTGTCATTGTTTCATTTCCTGTTTATTTTCCGCCAACTATATCGGTTCATTTAACTCCATATGTTTCTGTAGAATAGTATTAAAGCCTCAGTGTGAAAGCTCCTGTCTGTACTGCATGCTAAAACCAAAACCCCCCCAAAACAATTATTCTTCAATTAATTCTTTTATGGTAAGCTCATTTCTTCCCTGCTAGCCTGTCAGTGCTCTGCAAGCAATAAATTCACCCATGTCCTCTATTATAAGAGTTAAGATTATCAACTGCCTCCCTTGTTAACATCTTTGTCTTCACTTCCTCTCCTGTTATTAACTGAAAAAGCAGGGGTTTGGTGTTTAGTTTTGAAGATCTTCTCTTCTTCAAGCCCGGAAAAGAGCTGGTGTGCCCAGAAAAAAAACTCAGACTCTTCACGTGATAGTGACATCTTAACTTTTTCTTTTAATGAGGACAGAATCTCATTCTCTCTGAGCTTCCAGACAATCATCTGTTGCTTTTTCTGCTTCACTATGGGTTACTCTGTTAGCCTATCCCTGAGCACACCCCCTTGGCTGTTTAGGCTTTGGAAACCCTGGCAATGTCGGAAAAAGTATAAATGTGGTGGCTGCTTTTGTCCACGCTGTTTGGCCTGTGGTTGAGGTTGCCTTATTAGATTACCTTTTGATATGATAGGTGATGTTTGCTCGTGAAACATAAGTAATGCTGCTTGCAGAACAACTGATCTAACAGCTTGCTGCCACTGAAAGGGGCTACCCTACCTCCTGCTTTGTGCCAGATTATTGCTCACCTTATTGCCTTCAAAAGTTGCCTGAGTCAGGCAAGTAATCAGTAAAAGAGATTAGCTTCAAGACGTTGTGGGTGATAACTTTTTAAGGCTATAGCTGATTTCAAGGAGACTGATGATGTTTAAATGGAGTTCCCTAGAACAATGGGAGGGTTGCTTCCTGGAAGAATGGAGTCTCCACACTTGGTTGTAACTAAAATCCCACCTAAAGACGGGGGCTTTGGCACCAATAGTAAAGTCCCATTGTATTCTAGATTACGTTGGTAAGCCTGCGTTCATGGGGCTGGAAATGTAAATACAGTAAAAAGAAATAATGCATTCTCCCTCTCCTCCCTCTTCTGCACGCCCTTTCTGAGTTCACAGATTCAGGGCAGTCTAATTATACGGAGAATTACAGCACAGCAAAAACAGAACATTGCAGCAGGGGGGAAGGAGTGATTGGGTCTGAGCATGCTTTAGCTGAGTCTTACTGATGCCATGACCTGAGTTACAGAATGACTGCTAAGGCTGTTGATACTCCCTTTGCCACGGGATGCCTCCAAACACATAGAATTGTGCCTTGCTTTAAAAAGAGCATGCTCCAAGGATTCACATATAGAGATCAGTGGTGGAAGCTAGATAGCAGAGGGATTCAAAGATTGTGGCAGGAAAGGTTTTTGAGAGCTGAGAAGGCTGGGGGAGGTGTGCTGCAGGTTCCCCCTTTCCCAACACATTTCAGGGAACGCAGTGCTGTAGTGTGGTGTTGGTGCTGATGACCAAGAAGCCGTGAGTGGGGAGCAGGACTACAGAGGTTCCTAGCTTCAGCACGATTTGAAGTGATTGAATTTGTCTCTTCTGTAGCCTTACACCAAATATCTGATACCTTGGAATGTATGTGAGCTGTCCAAAGGCCAGTTACTAAAACAAGGGAGTTTATTAAGATGTGGGATTCCGTAGGTGGATGCAAACACGGCATCTGGTTGGCACTTTAAAGCTGAAGCGTAACATGAAAAAGGGAACATAACTAGGAGAACCAAGGGTTTATTCCAGTTCCTGGTAAGTTCAGGAGACTTTTGAGTAGATGGGTTTCCAATGCAAGTCCTGAAACTCAGACATCCAATCCGTGGTATTACATTATCAGTGTACTGATCTGTCCTTTGGACGGTTGTAACAAATCTTGGTTTGTTGGCAGCCACCCAACTGTATCCTAATATAACTTGGTAGGAAAACTTGATGTTAGTGTTTATGAAAAATTTTGTAGCGGTCAAGGCTGGTGATCTCTATCAACTGTGGATGCCAAAGATGCTGCTTCATGCATAGTTTTACTTGTGGAGAAATCTTGATTTACTACAGTAGAATTAGGAATTATGGCTGTGACTGTCTTCCAGAGGGATGAAATAATTCCTAAACTTGTGGCCTGTTTCCTTTCTTCTTGTATTTCCCTTTCATCTTTTCATGCTCCAGATCTTCAATTGTTTTAGTTTTCTTTTCCCAAGGACCAGAAAAGGCTGTCCTTGGAAGCTGTTCGTATACCATATGTTTTGCCAGAATATCTTTTCATGATTTGTTAGAAGTCCACACTGGCTTTCTGGTGACTCAGAGATTGCACTATAATACTGATATGATAATGTTTAATCATGTATTCTAAAGCAGGAGATTTAGGTCAGAGGATTAGTTTGTTAGGAAGCTTCAATCAGGAACATACTAATTAGAATGAATACTGCATGCAGACAGATGTTTAAATTTAAATTACTATACACAATTGAACTTCTGTTGATGCAGAGCACTGCAGAAAACTAGACTTACTTATTTTTTTTAAGCAATGCCTGTGGATTTAGGTCAAGAGTGGAATGTCAGCAAGTGGCAATGAACTTGCAAAAACCTCTTTTTTCCCTACTCTGTGTTGCCAGTATGTTCAAAAGGTTTAAGTGCCCACTGACAGTGTGAGGGAGCTGAGTTAATACTTCTGCTTTAAAGTTTCCTCATTAGGGAAGAAAACAAACTTTTCAGCATATGGTTTTCCTTTTGCAGGAATAGATAGTCGATACAATGAAGGTTGCAGGGAACTGGCGAACTATCTGCTTTTTGGCTTGTATAACCAGAATAACAATGACTTTGAAAGAACTGGGTTTCCTGAAGAAGTTCTTGATGGTGAGTAACGTACTCCACATTTTTACACATTCTTCCGTCTTTTTGGAGGGAGGGTGAGCCAGAAGAAGGGGCATAGCTCAAAAAAAAAAAAAAAAAAGTTGTAAATCTCTAATTCTGTATATACACCTGAAAAACGGTTCTTAAATACGCTGCTGAAGAACTCTTGGTTTTAAACAAGTGTCCCCCCCCATATATTCCCTCAAGTGTTCTAAACTTAGACAAATAGGGCCAGTTATGAGAAGTCCTAGTGCTGTCTTGTTATGTGTGTATATGTGTTAACAATTATTGTGTGATCACACCTCCAGAGTCCTAAAATACTTGAGCTCTTTTTTACTTTAACATATTAACTCACTTTTATAATATTCGAAAGGTGGCCAGTCACCATGATCATGGATTATTATTTCCTTATTTGCATGAAATTTTGAATATCTACCCCATAGGCTGTAGTGCTGTGGTTTTTACTTGGAGCAACATTTTGATGTAATATTAGGCAAGAGCAGCTATAGTTTACAGCTTTAAGTGCTCTGTAAGGACTTATCACTGAAACTCTTGGCTTCTCAAAAGACAGGCTGACGTAGTTCTGTGCAAGACTTTTGAGTAACCCACCATTGTTCTGAACAGTAAGAAGTACTGTGGTACTTGGAACTGTATATGGCTGCCAACTGCTTCTTTTTGAAAGAAATGGGAAATGACTGTGTGTTCAAATAATTAAAGAATTTTCTTTTAATGAGGTACTTTATCATAGAATAGTTTAGACTGGAAAGGACATTTAAAGGTCACCTAGTCCCACCCCCCTGCCCCGGGCAGGGCCCCCTTCCCCCAGCCCAGGGTGCTCCCAGCCCCGTCCAACCTGGCCTTGAACCCTTCCAGGGAGGGGGCAGTCACAGCTGCTCTGGGCACCCTGGGTCAGCACCTCACCCCCCGCACAGGGAACAATTTCTGCCTTATATCTCCTCTAAATCTCCCCTCTGTCAGTTTAAAACCGTCCCCCCTCGTCCCATCCTCACCCCCTGACCCAGAGTCCCTCCCCCCCTCTCCTGTCCCCCCTTTAAGCCCTGGGAGGCCGCTCGAAGGGCTCCCCGGAGCCTTCTCTTCTCCAGGCTGAACCCCCCCAACTCTCTCAGCCCGGCCCCCCAGGGGAGCTGCTCCAGCCCCCCCAGCATCTCCGTGGCCTCCTCTGGCCCCGCTCAAGCAGCTCCGTGTCCTTCTGCTGTTGGGGGCCCCCGAGCTGGCCCCGGCACTGCAGGGGGGTCTCCCCAGAGCGGAGCAGAGGGGGACAATCCCCCCCCTGGCCCTGCTGCCCCCCCTGCTCTGGCTGCAGCCCAGGGCACGGGGGGGTTCTGGGCTGCCAGCGCACGGGGCTGCCTCACGGGCAGTTTTCCAGCCACCAACCCCCCCAGTCCCTCTCCTCGGGGCTGCTCTCCAGCCACTCCTTGAGGGCCCAGCCTGGGTTTGTGCTGGGGATTGCCCCGACCCAGGGGCAGGACCTTGCCCTTGGCCTTGTTGAACTTCATGAGGTTTACACAGGCCCACCTCTTTCACATTATAGGAAAAGTATTTTCTGTTCGGTTTATGTGTGTTTTGTTTTTTTGTTTTTTTTTTTTTTTTGTGTGTCTACGTAATTCTAGTGTGTTTGGAGTATTGATGCTGGAATAATATTTTTCCTGCTTGTTGCAGATATAATCATATTAATAAAACCTGACAGTGTCCATCTGTACTGTAACCCTGTGAATTATAATCATCTTTTGCCGTATGTGGCATACTGGAGGAACTTGCATTTTCACTGTCTAACTGAAAATGAGGTAAGTGGAAAATGAATGCAGATGCAAATTGCTAATGAACTTGCTAATGAACTGATATTTGGAGTGGAACTTTTTTTAACATTCCTTCCAGAAGTCTTTTTTCTGTTTTTTACTCAGCAGGGTTGTGATCTGCATATATATATGGGTATTAATCATTTTGCTAATGTGTGCAAGAAGAATATGTTTTTATTACTTCGTATTTGTTGGAGCATGAAGACAAATTGCTCCCCTCTCCCACTAATTACTATTGTTTTGACATGAGTCAATGATCTTTTAATGAGGAAAAATATGTGGGTTGTGAGAAATGCAGAATCTGAATTAAGTACCACAGTCAACCCCAAGATTTCCAATGGTAGCCTTATTTGCTACCAAAGTGGTATTTTAATGCTGGTAGTTGTAGAATATTAGAAAAGATTGGCTTAGTAAGCCATTTAAAATCAATGTATTTTAATTTAAACTCTTCCTTTCAAGACCTATTAAGCTCACTTTCACTGGGCCGTGTGAGCTTTGTTTTGCCTTTAAAAGTCACGGCATCCTTAGAAAACCTATGTTTGTCACCGTGAAGTACTGTTTGAGGAGCAAAAAGTGAAAATACTGTTAGTCTAGGTGTAGAATAAGAACCTTTTTATTCCAGTTGAGACTGGAAATGCTTCTTCCTAAATGCCATCATGGGAAGCTTCCCCCCCTGTTCAGTTCTGTGTAGTTCCTTTTCTAAATTAGAATGATACTGAAATCTGAAGGGAGTGCATTAGGAGCCTGCAGTGTCAATGGGTGAAGCAGGTGGAAGAATGAATGGGGAGTTCACGGGGAGAAGCCTTTTGTTCCCTTGAGTTTCCAGCTTGAAAGCGATGGGGCTTATGATAGATTGATTGTGTTTTTATGTGGCTGGCCAACCGTTTATCAGTTCGTCACAGAATTATGAAATAATTCCAGTTAGAAGGGACCTCTGGAGACCATCTTGTTCAACATCCTGCTTAAGGCAGGGTTAGTGATGGGATCAGATCAGGTTACTCGAGTTTTTTTGCAGTTGGATGTTGAAAGCATACAGGGATGATGAGTGCAGAACTTCTCTTGTCTCTCTGCTCCATTACCTGACTGTCCTGATAGTGACAAAGTATTTCCTTTTATCCAGTCTGAACCTCTCTTATTTTAAATTATGCCATTTTCCATGCATCCTGCAACAGAAGACCACTGTGAAGAGCCTGCCTTTAGCATTTCAATAACGTTTTCTTGTGGGTGTTGGAAGCCAATTATGCAGTCCAGCCACTGCCTCCTCTAGGCTCAGCACGCCCAAGTCTCTCCTTGTAGGACAAGTGCTCCAACCCGCTGATCATTGTGGTGGCTCTCCACAGAACTTGCTTTGGTTTGACAACATCTGTCCTGTATGTGGGTCCCAAAACTGGATGCAGTCTAGATCCAGTCCCACGAGTGCTGCATAGAGTGGGATAATTACTTCTTGTTAAGATGTAAACAGCTGAGCTACAGGTTAAAGCATGCAAGCAAAATCTAAAGCCTGGCTTTATAAGGTGTTTCTGTTGCCAAAATCCCCGCTGAAAGGGCAGATCTTGAAGCATTATAACATTGAAGACAGTTGTAAAACACATGCATTTTGGAATTAAGAATGGAGTGGTTCTTAACACACTGTTGCTAGCACAACTGCAATCTCAGCTATTGAACTGTAAGCTGCAACAACTGCTTATGGGCTTTTGTGTGGTTTATCGTGGTAAGTAATAAACTTAATCACACAGTACTGGCTTGAAATAATGGTGTAACTAGGAAGGTAAACCATATGCCTTGCTATTTCTGGAAGTGAATGATGAAGTTTTATTTCTGAAGCTGAAAAAGTAAATTTTACTTCATTGCTGATTCATGTGAATGAGCTGAGCAGTACACTTCCAGTCAACATTTCTAATGTATAAGAATTGCCAGTTTCCTAGATTACTTCTGAAAGAGAAACACAAAAACATTGCTGTATCAGGCTTTTAAGTGCATCCTGTTTACAAGAGGATTGCCTGGCTTTTAAGAATTTTTTTTTTTTCAGTGACAGAAATAACTTTTGCTTACTTTTATAAAAATGAAACCTAAAAAGCCCGAGAGTTTTAGAAATAAATAAAGCAATGCTGTACCTGGCTCTGTGCAGCTCTTGATGAGGCTGGCAAAGCCTATAGCCTCTCCTTCCTTTCTTTTTTCCTACTTGCCTTTAACTAGACAATAGGAATATAAGTGAATATGTTAGTTATTGGGAAAAAAAAAATGTATTGTTAGAGAATGCACATTTTTGAAATGACCAAATAAGATAAAGTACTGAAATTTGATGCATACTGTATAAACTTTCTCGGTGTCATGACTGTACACTTTATGGAACGGGCAGTATTGATACCGGCAGTAACAGATAGTGAGCAAGCCTTTAGCACCCTGCTGAAAACAAAGTTGTTCTTATTTTAATGGCATTTTAAGTCTTGAGAACTGGCAGTTGTTTGGGGCTTGGCTTCAAACTGAAACTTTGATCTCGCTTCCTGGGATTGAAGAAAGAACACATCGTGGAGGAACTTGGGCTGCATCTTAAATTCAGGCTTGTCTTAAAAGAGCTTGTTTTTAAAATAAATTTGTTGGGTGTACCCTGAAGCTCACAAGACCTGTATAGAAAAAGTTCATAATCATGTAATCTGTCTTGATGTTAACTTCAGAGCACTGTACATTTAAAAAAAAAAAAAAAAAAAAAAAAAAAAAATAGACAAAACACCACTGCCTTCTGATCTTGCTCCAGAAAGCAAGTGACTCTTGAAGTACCCAGTGGGGCTAGGCCTTCTTGCTTCAGACTTGCTGCTAAACTGCACCTTTTCGAATAAAAAACTGAGAGAGCGTTTTTAGGGTTTTTTTCTGTTATAAAAATGACTTTTTTCTGTGATTTGTCTCTTCAGTCTAATTTTTATGCTTTTCTGAGCTGTAAGTATGATGTTTGTTCTTCACTCCGCCTCTTCAGTCTGCTGAAGTCTTCAGACAACTTCATTCTGCTCTTAGTGTGAAACAGCAAGATAGCGTTGCACGGTGGTGTCTCCTCTTCTTTCCTCCTCCTCCTTTTCTTACATACAACCTCAGTTGGTTCTCATTGCTTGTTCTGGGACCTGAGGCCTACCTGGTCAGTTAGCTTTACTGGTTAAGCGTTTTTAAGCTGGTAATATATTTTTTTTTTTTATCTCACTGGCATGTTTTTTGTGGTACATCAGTTCGTATTCTCAAAATATCTTTTATTGTTTAAAAATTGTCCAGAATTTAGTAGATGATCTTGAAAGACTTCACAGAAAGCTGAAAACAAAATATATAATTATGCCTTCATATAACCTTACTAAAAACCTTGCTGTGAAGTTGGGGTGGTGGTTTTTTTTTTTTTGTTGTTGTTGTTAAAACCGATTTCCATTGGCTTGAATATATCACTGCCATGATGGAATTTCCAAAATATAGAGACTAAAGAGGTTCTTTAGCTTCTTGGAGGCTGTCAGTGTTTTAGTGGCTTACATGACATTTGTTATGAAATGAAAACAGTAGAATACATATTCTCTTCGGTGCAAAACTAACAATCAAATTAGGCATGACTAATCAAATTTTATTTTAAATGATTTGTTTCAGTATGAAGATGAAGAAGTTGCAGAGGAATTCAAAATTTCCAGCTTTGTAGACATGGTTCGAGATTGCAGTCGCATTGGTATTCCATACAGCTGCCAAGGTAGGTTAGCTTGTTTTATTCTTACAGTGTAAATGTTTTGCAGCATGGAAGTCATGCAGTTCAGGGAATGAAGATTTTCTTGCCTTTGGTAAGAAATAAGGATTAATATGTTGATAGATTTCTTTTAGCCTCTTCTTACTTAAGAGTTGGATTTCTTTCTGAAAAATGTAAGCCCTTAGACTTCATCTGAAGAGTGAATGCTCACAGCGTGAGGCAAAGAAATAATTTGCATTCAGAGAAGTGTATTCCGCTGCTACAGAAGTTCTCTGTTCAGATGGGAGCTCCAGATAAATACTTCTTTATGCAAGGAAAGAATAAACATTTCGTTATGCAAGTTTCCTTTTTTAGCGCTGAAAAAACTGGACTGCAGGACTTCCTGTTACGATCTGTAGCCAGCCATGCAGCCTGAACAGTGTAATCTTACATTGTTCAGTGAAGTGTACTTTGCAGTATCCCCAGCAGTGAATACTGCAAAAGCAACGCAGTGCATGTACTTCACTGTGTAGCATGAACATGTGGGAGTTTTGATCCAGAATACAGTAGGTGAGAGGCAACCAAAAAATAATTGCTTTCTATTTTTGAACCATGTAAGCTCAAACCAAGCTAATTCGGTTATTTTATTTTGTTTTATTTTATTCTATTTTTTCCTGATACCCTTGAGGAAAGAATAACGTGCTCTGACTGCCTGGAGAATCACTGATGGTCAGGGCACGTGGGAAGGATGGCAGTTTTGTTAGGAAGTATCTAAAGAAGGTGTGTAGCTTAAGGGTAGTAATCACATTTCACTTCAGATGGCTTATAGCTTCCCCGATGAGTACCAGGCTGAATAGACTTCCTCTCCCTTGACTTAAAAATCTGATTAACATGGGGCTGACGTTGACAGTATTTTACTTGAGGCCAGATATTTGAAGAAATTGGAGTAGGCAAAGCTCACTGTTTATTATCTCGAATTTGAATGGGCAACAATTTTGCTACAGGTCTTGGAACAAAATTTGCAAGGAGACATAATATCCTTTACTAGACTAATAGCTGGAAAAAGGGGACGAAATTTGGGGTGTAGAGAAAGGAGTTTTGGAAAGCTACTGTCTTCACAAAAAACATTTTTCAATTACACATTTTAACTTGAACAAAGACAGAATAATTGAGATCCTTTGTTAGAATCTCAGAACAACTCTAAGATCTCACAGAAAGTTGTACTGCTGGTATTTGTGAGAGAATGTTTCTGTGAAACATTTCTTTTACAGGTCATCTACAGATATTTGATATGTTCATTGTTGAAAAGTGGCCAATAGTGCAGGCTTTTGCACTGGAAGGAATTGGGGGTGATGGCTTCTTTACAATGAAATACGAAGTGAGTAGTTATGTTTTTAATTGTCTTCCATTTCCATTCTGAAGCAGAAATTGAATTATGGAATTATGTGAGTTGGAAAGTACCTTTTGAGATCATCTAGTCCTGACTTACCGCTCAAGCGAGCTTCTAAGTTGGATGAGGTTTTTCAGGCTTTTATGAAACTGAGTTTTGAATGTGCAGGGGTGGAGATACCACAGTCTTGCTGAGAGGCTGTTATGAGCTACACAGCACTGTCCTGGATAAACCGTGATTGTTTGGTGTCCCCTCGGCCTCCCTGTTGTGACTTAGAACTTTTTTTTCCTTATCTTCTAAAGCCTCCTCTACCAATAATGGAAAACACTTTTTTTAAACTCTACTAGATAGGTATAGATCTGCAAGAGAAGCTGGTTAGTGACAAATGCCTTGAAATGAACTGAGAATTTAAGAAGTGACTGTATTTTTTGGGTCACTGTTTTTAACACGAGATGCATCTACATCTCACCAACGTTATATTCTTGGGTCGTCATAGCTTGCTGAATAAGGCAACAGTCAAGACTTTGGATGATGCTCCTAGTTTTTAATAATGATTTGCTGTCCCACTCTGAGCAACTTGTGTCATTTGATTTGCCTATTTATTAAAAACACTCTAACAGCATCTTCAGAGGACAGCTTTGTATTTATGTACTTGTTTGAAGCTGCTTTTTATTTAATTTTCTTGGACCTCTGCCACAGAATTGCAGATGTCCTATTTCTCTTGTCAATTCTCCATTTTTACAGCCAGAATGTTCTTTGTCTGACTTTTGACAACTGGAAAAACCCCAAGGAGTTAGTAGTACCATTGTTCAAGTCCAGTCACATGTAGTACTGTACACACTTGCTCAGAAATCTATTATGTGAGTTCAAGTGTGCCTTTCTCTCTGAGCTCTGTGCGCTTTCCACTGATACCTTTCTTCATGCTCTTTTTTTTTTTTTTTTTCTTGATTTCATCACTAGTACTGTAATTCTTGTTGTGAGAACCTGTCAAAATCATTAAATACAAATTGCAAATAAATGATCATCCTTGTGGAGGTCTGCCTGAGTATCAGTACCCCTTCCTGATGTCTGAATTTAGTCAATGAAACTTTGCCTGTGAATTCAGGAGTTGTTTGGTCATTTAATTACCCATGCCAATTTATTTCTTGAATCCAGAGAGGCCTTGAGGAAATGTGTAGACACAATGTAGCAATGACTTTGTAAAGGCAGAGCCTCTCCTGTTTCATTGTGGGACCTGATACTGCCTTTACAGCTCTCTTGCAGACTTGAAAAGGAGCAATGAAAATTTTCAGTATGTGTTTTTAAGAGCAAGTGTGTTGGCTCTGGAGGTTCAGTGAGTTCCAGCTTGAGTTCTTGCTTTCTTCCTCCTTAAAGTCATAAGGGGATTTCAAGTGGGAAGTGGCATTCTTAACTTTTTGCGTAACTGTTTATGCATGGTTTTCTGTTAGGCAGCTGCTGTATGTCACAGATGGGGAGGAAAAAACAATCTATGGAAGGAAGTACATTTGGGATCACTGTATATGATCTATAAATGATCTAATAGTTCTGCCCTTGTTAAAAGGGGGTGTTCTTGGTGCATTTTTAGTTCTTCAAACTGACTTTCCCTCTGTTGTGCGTTCTATGCTGTTAGATTTGAAGATAATCTAATGACGATGTCTTAGTAATTTTTTTCTGTGTCTTAAGCTCAGTTGCTCTCTCACCCTTACTACAGAAGTCAGAGTTGCTCAAGATGCTGTAATCAGGAGAATTTACTGTACTGACAGGTGAATGGAAGTGATGTCAATATTGCCATATCTAATAATATGAGTAACTGGAATAACTTTAAAGCAGTAGTTTAAGAAAATTCCAGTCATTGTTGCATTTTTAATTAAATGGATGGTGGGGAACCACCCCCACGTGGAAATTATTCAGATACATTCATTACATGCAGAAATTATTCAGTTACAACTGTCCGTTAAGAATATGTTTTTCACTAGTGCTCTCACACACATCGTCTCAGTACTTGGAAGAAGGTATTGCTGATTGTTAAATTAAACTAGCTTAGCCTAAATTTACATTATCCTTATAGGAAGAATAGGCTGGTGTGTAGGACGAGTAACCTTGGAATCTGCTTCTTGTTTAATCTTTCCCTTTTGTTTGCACTGGCTTATAGTAGTCTATGTTCTGTAGTATTCTTTGCTACTAACAAAGTTTGCTAAAAACTTTGCGAGGTGATTTGTTTGGAAGATGCAAGCAAAACTGTGCACATACTTTAAACCCCTACTTGAGGAGATGAGTCTCTGAAGCATCCAGAACACTTGCATTTGGCCAATTCTTTTGTAATATTTCTGAATTCAGAGTTAAGGAGGACTGTTAGGCTGGGCAATGTGCTGCAAGACTGTTTCAGTGCGGCAAAAACCTGAATCTGTGGCATTCTTCTTGGTCTATTTCACAGAAGTGTGTTTAAAATCTCTTTCAGTTAATGGATGTCAGTGTTGATCTGTGGAAGACATACAGCAAAATGGATCCCATTTCCTTGGAGGACTTGCTTTTTGAGGTAATGAGGGTGAAATATTCTGAATCAACTGCTAGTCTGTTAGTGTAGCCACAGAGCAAAATTGCTGTTGTTTTGTTTGTTTTTAATAGTCCTTATGGATTTAGTCTGCTGGCCCTGTTGTTTGCAGGGTCTCTTTCCTTTCCTTACATCTACCACAAAATCCGTAAAACATTAAAACAGCTTTTCTCGGATTCCTTGAATTTCTTAATTTGTCTGAAATTCTCCTAGAAGTTTTTCAAATGGTGTGGCTGTTACTTAAGTCATAGGACTATGTACAAAGTACAGAAAGTTGGTATGTCCGTGTGTGTTAATCCTCCTTTTGCAGCACGGCAAGGAGGGGGAAAATCTTCTATAACTTCCAGCCATTTACCCAGCAACAAACACTTTCAGGATTGCTTTATAACTGCTTTTAGTGGGTAACAGTGACACACAGTGGCTGCCCTGATGCTTTGTGAAATACCAACATACAGTGTGAAGTGATTCCTCATTACAATGTGATGGCCTGATCTCAGTGCCAGAGAAGACAGCAATGTAGGAGTATTAGTATATATTATTTTTTGTTAATTTTTTATCAGTTTCTAGCTTGTCAGCAAAGTAGCCTTTTAAGATGCAGCAAGTTCAGCAGTAAATATAATTTATTAATAAGATATTGGTAGTTCACACCAATTAGGTTTTGTCAGCTGCTGTAATGAAAATGGAAATGTCATACAGTTTGCAAGGCTGTCAGTCTAAACAGTCACTCTCTGATACTTCACTTCCCCCTTCCTGTGGAAGTGGGATAAATGTTTGGGACTTTTCTTGTACCTGGTAAGTCTGCCCTGAAATTGACTGACTGACCCTATTTTGAAGTTTTAAATCTGAAAGTTGTTAAATTTACTTCCAGTTTTCTGAAGAAAAATAGATGAATGGGGTTTTCATACAATGCTGGCTTCATAGAAATTAGTGATTTTAAAAAGGAGGATTTTTCTCAGTGAGGATGAAGTTAGGTGATCTTAAAGAGCATCTGAAGGTGGCATATGCTTATACTTTTTTGTTTGTTAACCCAGCTTTGATTTCAAAAAATTCCGATTTGAACTCTACTCGGGATTTAAAATAATGTTCTATACAACATTGGCATGTTGCAAAAAACTGACAAAAGCACTTTTTAGTTCTTATCTTCTATGAAAATCTTATTTAAGACTGGAATATTTTCCAACAATAGTTTCTCCCTCTAAATGTAAACCTTCATTTTAAACCGAATATGGGCTTAATTAGTATTTTGGAAGGCTTGTAAGATTTCTTCAACATTCACTCTCTCAATTTCATTCATTGCTGCATTAATGAAATCACTGAAGTAAAATACTGTATAATACTTAGACCACTGCTAAAGTCATAGTTCTGGTTTTGACTATTATATATATAATATCTGAGAAACTATACTTTCTGAAGTCAGGATGTCTCTCATCTTCCAAGTTAGTATCTGACAAGTAACTGAAAGTAATCTTGAGAGCATTTTTAAATTGCCTAGTTCTGTAAGGTTCCTGCCTTATCAGCATGACACACATTTTTCTTATTGATTCTCTGATTCTTTTTTTTTTTTATTAATTAATTTGAATGCAACACTTACCTGTAGTAATTTTGCTTTTTTATTCTGCCTTAGTGAGGTGTTACTGATATTTCCTTTTCCACTTACCATTTTTTTTTTTATAAATGTAGATGAAGAGATGTCTGTCTGCTACTTGCATATCATGAGCTTCCCAAATTCCCAGCCCCACTCTTCATTTTCTGTCCATAGGCTTACTTAATGTCAGATACAAATTACTTCAGAACCATATACAGATTTTAAAAATAGAAAATTAAATCTGTCCAAGTATTCTTTTGGAAGTTTTAGGGGAAACAGGAGGTCTGAGTTATGAGTGATCTCAAAACAGTGTACTTCCTTAGGTTAAATGCAGATAGTGCAGGGCTTTGGTTCTTCTCCCTTTCCTGCCTCTTTTCTCTCCAAAAAAAAAAAACCCAAAACACCCCCAAAAAAAAACCCAAACAAAGGAAAAAACACACACCCAAAAAAGACACCCCAAAATCCAGCAGAGAGTCCTTATCTTTTAAAAGATGTTTATTTTCTTGTACTTATTGCTTCACTGGGCAGGCTGTATTCTATACTGCATCGTGAAATGTTATCTGTGTTGTTCTGAAGTAATTTGGGTTCATTCAATATAACCTGTGAATTTCTTTCTCTGGTGTAACACTTGCCTTACTAAGTAATGTTGAATGTTTTTCTTCTAGGATTTAATGAATTTTGAACACCAGTGGACCAACTTTTTTGCTAATTTTGATACTGAAATTCCCTTCATTCTGGAACTCTCAGAATCTCAGGCAGGGGAGGTATGCCTGCTACGTAGTCCTTTGAAATTCTCATGTCATCTGTGCAGAACTAATAAGAATTCAGCATCGTTTATTGTTTTTGTGGGTTTTTATTTTTTTTTCCCCTCCTTCCACCATCTCACCTCTACTTTGAGGAGTAGAAACCTACCGTTTTAGGGTTTTTTTCAGTTCACCACCCACTTTACCTATTGATGGTATGATGGCTCGGGACTGACTGGTGTCATTCAGTTGAGTGTTTGTTCACTGGTAATTGAATTAACTGATGTACGTCTGCGCAGCAGGTCCCTGTTGGCAGGCAGATGGACTTTTGTTTTGGTGGGAGCTCCAGTGTGTGCACTTCCTAACAAGTTGAGGTTGCACGTGTCAAATCTCAAACATAACTGATGTAACATACAGCATGGGTGAGAATAGCACACTACTTTTCGGTAATGACTGTTGTTTTTTAAGCATGTATGAGACATGTTTGGGTTTGCTTATGGAGGTTGGAAGTGGATTTTAAGGTTTCAGGAGTTTTCTCTGAGAAGGATAGTTCAGGTTTGTTCTTAATTATAATGAGGATGTATCACATTTTCTCTTCATTTACTTGTTAAAAAGATTGCTGTGTTGTTTTTTTTTTTTAATTCTTTACAGCCTTTCAGAAGTTATTTCAGTCATGGAATGATCTCAAGCCATATAACAGATAACAGGTATTACTCATTATTCCCTGTGAAATTATGGTGTCGCTAGTACTTCAATATGTTATTTCCATATCTCTGATGCCATCATGCTTATTATTCCTTTTGGGACCATTTCAGTATATCACATCTCATCTTTGCCTATTTAAAAAAAAAAAATAAAAAATGTGTAAAGGCACTTCTGGGAATGATAAGCTGAATTTTCATGGGATTTAATGATGTAGTTATTACATATACAATGTCAATATGTTTGAAACAATCCACCTTGTGCATTCTAATATGATCAATTTTTTTATGGTCAGATATCTAAACAAACTCATTAACTTATTATACAGAACAACTGTGTTTGAAAATGTTTGTCCTATTTATAAGATACTCAGAAACAATTAAAATATGAAGCTTGAAGAAGCCCGTATACTTTCTTGAGTCACAACATGCACAAGACCAGTGTTTAGAGCGGGGCAGTTAAAAACCCAAATCTTAGCCAATATAAGGTGGGCAATACGGGTCATCTTTATTTTATTTCAGCATGGAATTTTAACTGAGAGAGGAAGGTTGTTTGTCATATGTTGCAAAACCAAATGTTCTGCTGTTTTGAGCTAAATAAAGGTTGCTTAGCTACTTGCATGTCTCTCTGCAGATTCTTCTTTATTCTTTAAACAGTGGAGTTCAATGTCCTTTATTGTTTTCAGCATCCTATGCTGTTTGCATTTAAATAACTAAAAGAAAAACCTTGACCTCTCCAGTTAAGTCTTGGGCCCAAAGCCAGAACTAAAACCAAAATAGTTTTTGTTTAATTCCAATACAGTCACTTCAGAGATTTTCAAGATGGTAAATTTTAAACTAGTCAGCTTTTCAAGGCAATTTACTTTAAAAAAGAGGAAAAACCCCACCTAATAGCATTTGGGAAATAGCCTTGAGATATGTTTTTGTATATGAAAGAAGTTATAGTCTTGTTAATTCAAGTAGGTGTTTGTTTTTTGTTTTGGTTTTTTTTGTTTGTATGTTTTTTTTTTTTTTTTTTTTCTTTGGAACTTGGTCTTTTCAATGGCAAGCTTTCTGCAGCTGTAGTAATTTTTTTTTTTTTTTTTGTCCTCCTCTTCTAGTAAGAAATTCAATACTTGGTCCATCAGACTTGACAGATTTGATTTAATTTCTTATTTGTAAGTTTTCTTCAAGTATTTTGGTGGTGATACTCTCTTTTCTCCTTAGCCCTAGCCGGCAGCCCTTTGTTCTCTTTGGTAGCCACTCAACTAAGGAAAACTTGAATTCTGGTAACTTTAATTTTCCATCAGAAGGACATCTTGTTCGAAACACTGGCCTTGGTGGAAGCACTGCCAAGCATATGGTAAGGCTTTTAAGTAGTTACCTGATATTTTGAAGCAGTGTATATTTTCTTTGTATTTTTTTTTGTGCCCTTAAAACATTTACCTTCCATGAGTTGAATACCCAGTTCTTCTTAACGTATCAAAATGTTACTTTAACAGTCAGTCAGTTGAAGGAACAAATTTCCTTTTTCTTTCTCTTTTCAAGTCAAACTATACTGGATATTTAATCGGGTCTGCTGAATGAGTTAAAGTATTTTTTCCCCTGTAAAAAGACAACTTTTTTAAACCCTTTGGTGCTGTAAATGTGTGGGGTGGGAGAGAGGGAAATGCTATTTGTGAGGATGCTTGTCCTGGCCATAAAGTGAAAATATTCCTGGTGGTAGCATATGATGTACTTAACTGACACGCAGGTTTTCTTTTAATCAGAGTTGTTTAGCAATTTCTTAAAAAGAAATGCAAAGACGCTTTTTTTTTTTTTTTTTTTTTTTTTTTGACAATGACTTTGTGAATAGCCACAGGATACTTACGTGTATCCAAATTTCAGTGTACGCTTCAGCAACTGAACAGCTCCCGAAACTCTGAAAACCTTTCTGGTCTTCAAAGAATGTTAAGATCAAGTTGTAAGATTAACTTGTTTCCGTTTTCAAGTAAAAGCTTAGTTTTAAAACATATGATGAGGTCGATGGCTTATTGCACCGCCGCGCAGGGGACCTAACTGGGGAAGCGACCCCAGGGAATTCAGATCCTCTGGCTGGCTGGGCTGGGTGCATCGAGAAGGTAACTCGCAGCGGAGGAGGAGAGGTAGCGTGCAGATTGCGTTGTGCAGTGCTCCCTGCTCGCCCATTCCCGGGGCGCTGGGAGTGCCCGTCGGTTGTGCGAGTCCCGAGTCTGTGCTGCTGAGGAGGTGGATGGTGGTTGAGTACAGGTCGTCGTGGAGTGAACGTGTGATTGAGGGAGTGAGTTTATGATCTTGTCATGACAACATTTCGTGCGTAAGTGGCCTTAGGGATGGATGGACGTGGGTATTTTGGACACGTTGCACGTGTCAGAAGCCTGCGGAAGGATTGTTTTAGCAGCCTGGGGAAATCTCATCTTCCATTTGCTACTCTGTCTAACCCTATTTCTGTAAAAACAATTTTGCTTTTTCTCCCCTTGTTAATGTTCCCATTAAGACCATTTGATATCTTTGAAAATGCAAGTACAGTTGTATTCTGACGTACTTGCTCCATCTGTTGTCCTTGGATTCTGACATTGTTCTTAAAAAGGTGGTTTATTTACAGGTACAGGTGATACTGTTTTAATAGGGTGTCATGAAAATAGTAATAAGACCAAGTGCAAGCATAGTTATGGGAACCTGACACACTTTCCTCTTCATGAAAAAGCAGTTGGCATAGGAAATTGAAAACAGATGCTTAACGCTTATGGAAGTCAGAGCTCATCTCCTTTCCAAAGTCTTTCAACCATTCAGGTCAAGTCAAAAGTGAAATATACCTTTGAAAACGTAAGTTGCTTTTTTAAAATCCAGTTAAGTCTGTGTCGTACACTTCCTGTAGTATGTCAGTGGTTAGACAACTTAAGGGGAACTTAGCTAATTGTTAATTATTGCACCAATTTTTTTTACTAAGGTCTTCTTGTATCTCGTTAATACTGACAACTAGGTAGTGCAGTGCATATCTCCAAAGGGACCTTTGGCTTGTTCCAGGACCTATTTTTTTGGAACCACTCACATTCCTTTCCTGGGTGAGTATATTAAAAATACCAAGCAGTAATTTAAGGCAGTTATTCTCTTAGATTATGTAAAATTTGTAGCAATTAAAAGATGGCTTTGATTCTTTTATGAGCATTAGACCATGGAGTAGTAGATACTGTCCCGTTCTGTAGCCAGTGCATGAAATCACAGCAGAACATTGTTCTGATGCACATCCTCCCTTCGTGTGTGAAAACTCGTCAGGGATTCACACAGAATGATTCAGAGGTCGAGAACTGTATTTATGTTGGCATCAGAAGGCAGTGTGAAGGTAGAGAGCACCTGGGTGTGCGCATCTTTTGCAAGTACTCGATAAATATTTCAGTCCCTGTTTCATCCAGGTTGATAGAAATAACAGTCCCCAAAAATACAGTAATTCAAAGTGGCTGTTGTCCAATAAACCTGCTTTGCCCCCCCCTTTTTTTTTTTTTTTTTTTTACAAAATAATTGAACATTCTTAAAAGAATGGAGAGAATTATTTTACTTTCACCCTTTATCCTCTGATTTTGGGCCCAATGTGGTGTGCTATAATAGCTGTCTTGCTTAATAAAAATAAGCCGTGTAGAGTTTTCGAAAACAATTTTCTTACCCATTTTAAGTGGCTGCATGAGTCCATGGATAAAATCAGTCTCCTTAGGGTTATTAGAAGTGGCTTCAGGATAAATAGCTCAGAAAGTATCTGAAGAGAAGATGGTTGGAGTCTTGCAAAATGGAAGCATAGCTTTGCTCTGGTTGTGCTCTCTCCTGGGCATCCAGGAATGGCCATTTTGGGAGCCAGGATACGGCCGGAGACAGGTCTTTGCTCTGACCTGATGCAGATCTTAGTCTTGGCTGGAGTATGTACTGGCTGTGCTGATACAAGTTAACCTGTGTTTTGCTTTTTTTTTTTTTTTTTAAATCTGCAAACAAAGTGCAGTTATATAAAATACTGGATAAATGTCATGTAAGATATGCAGCAGAAATGTTATGCCCAGGAAGTTCTGTGTAAATGCTTCTGAAAGTGCTTAAAACAAACATTTTTGGTTTTAATACAGGAAATGACAATGAGATGCACAAGCAAGCTGAACAAGTGTAAGCTGCCAACTTTTTATTATTCTTTAACTTTTCACTCTTTCTACTTGTGGCAGTAGGTCAAAACCGCTTTTAGTCAGCAGTGGCTGTTGGCATTTGCAGAGCTACATTTTTGTTTAGAGTAACGTGAATGTGAGAGGGTTTCAAAGGCAAATTGCTCATTGAGCAACTGAGTTTCAATGAGCAAACTATGAATTGTTAGCGTGATAGCCCTTCAGCTATAGAGCACAGTATGAAAGGAAATAATTGTACATTTTGCTTAAATTTTAATAAAACTTTTTCATCTTAACACTTATTTGCTTTAAAACGTGATTCATATATGCTGACAGGGAAAGTATCTATAACTGAGTGGGAGCATGTTCCACAGATAGAAGTAAAAGTAATTTTTACACTAGTTTCATTAAGGCTCATAATGGTTAGTGAAATGCCAACAAGGAGCACTCAAACTTGCAAAGAAATTTCACTATGTTAAATGATAGATAAAAGTTAACTTCTGAATTTTTTTTTTGTTAGTAAGCTACAAACCTTCCAAACATGTTGTCCTTCACAAAATAAGACTCTTTAACCATGTTGATGTCCACTTATCTGCGAGTAGATATCTGTCAAGCTTTAAGTACCTGGTAGATAATCTGCTTTGGTTCTGCTCTCACTCTTGATAAACCAGACCTTTCCTCAGAGATTTTTGTCCTCCTTTCTAGTTAGGATAATTTTAGGAGCCTGTTCTTGCTCCTGCAGTGGAGCAGTTTGCAAGCCCGTGTGACATGTTAGCAAGGCATTAAAGATGGGTCAGAGGGGGTGGGTGGTGGTGACCTTTCAGGCAAAGTACCGTTGGCTTTTGGTAGCTGTTACATGGTTCTCAAAGACATAGAAGTGAATTTGCTAGACTGAGCAGCAGATTTTTCATTTTTTTTATAGTAAAGTTAACTGACAGGTTATTTTGCTTATGTATATGTTCTGCTCAAACATGTAGAATATTTTTTGTCCTACTTCTAAAAGACTTTTTACTAAATACTGTTCTAACTGACATGGCTAGAGAAGTTCTAAGCAAAGCAAGGGTCAGATGATAGAGACAGTATTTTTTTACCATAGTGTTTTTCCTTGGAAGCATCCCTGTATTGGATCAAATAATCTAGTTTCAGCAACAGCAGCAAAATTAGCTTTTCTGGCAAACCTGACCTCATGATTTTGGAATTAGTTTGCAGTTGAGTCCCGTAACTGGTTCTTATATCTGTCAGTCTTTTCCAATGAAATAAAACGTGGAAAAAAATCTTTCATAAGCACTGTTCATTCCAAATTTGGCTGTATTTAGGAAGCAGAACTGCAATCTGGAGTCCCTAAACTGACTGTGTAACTTTAAGTATCCTTGGGGTAAACTTTGTATTTCTTTTTTTTTTTTTTTTTTTTTTTTTTTTTTTTTTTGAAAATAGCATTTTCTGTTTTGAACTGTTAGTGTTAAAATTTTAAAATGGAAGGAGTGAGGTAACTATAGCATATTAATGTAAAGCACAGCCCACTGTGAGGTGTTCCCTTGCAAATATATATATATATATATATATATATATATATATATGAATTTGCCTGAAAATCGGAATGGTTCCAGAGTCAGGAAGAACGATACACATTTCCTGTAATGACTCTGTACTGAGGACATAAGTTAAATGCATGTGTTAGTACATGAAGTTACAGAGAAGAAACCTCAACAAATAGTAAGAAGGTTTGATTTTTTTTAAATCTCCTACTGCTACTGGGGACGAAGTTCAGAGACAATCATTGGTGCATTTTGAGGTCCCTCCATGTTGGGCCATGTTTGGAAGTTTCAGATGCTTTTTTCCGTCCTTCAGGAATGCTTTGCCTATGGCTTAAATGCTGTATCCTTCTCTTTCCTCCCCCTTCCTCCTTCCCTCAACATCTAGCAGTTGCAGAGGAATAATGAGAGGAGTTAAAAGTTTGGGGAAGTAGGACTGTTTTTGTCTATCTGCTTCTCTTTTTTGTTCCAATTTAGCTGGAAGACAGAGGCCGATGTTTCTTAGTTGGACATAAGTGGGTTTTTTTCAATAGTTCTGGAGCTATAAATATGTCAGTAGCTGTAAGTTGCTTCTAGCTTCACTTAACCTTTGTTTATTCCTGTGCAATTTTTTCAATTCCTTTTTAAGAAGGACTAAGCTGTGATGTACATGTGCTCAAAAAATTGTGGTGACTCGTTTGTTTCGGTATCTTTTTAGCTTGACATGCTCCAGAACAAGTCATTCTTGGAGGTCGGTTCACCCTGTTTTCCAGTTTTGCTTTTGCGGAATGTGGGACTACCATTCTATGCTCGTTGTGATATTGAGGATGTGATCCTCAACACAGCTGCAGTGAAAGTCAACAATAAAACTTTTTTTTTTTTTCCTTGACTGATGAAAGCAGGGATACGGTTGTGCCAGGAGGTTTTTTCCCCAAGATATGCTGTAATTTGAGCAATTTACTTGCTCTAATTTATTTTTATAAACTGAAAGGTTAAGTCTAAAGCTATTTCTATGCTTATTTGATCAAGGAACCCTTCTATATAGGGGATTTGTGTTACAAGAGGAAAAGCTGCTCCTTTAAACAGAGGAGGAGGAAAACTCTATCTGTCTAGTAAATGTTGTGTTTGTATTTCTCTTCAGTACGCTGTTGTCGCAAATATATACTGCTGTTGTAGAGGCTGTGCTTGCTGGCATTGAGTGCTATGCTAAAACTTCCACTGAATCCAAGGTAAATGAAGCACCGATTCTGTACACTGTAATTGTTGATTGGGATAGCTTGCAATATAAGATTACATGCAAACCAAAATTAAAAAAAAGAAAAGAAATGTTTCAGTCAGCTGCCTATCTTTAATGAAGTTAATACCATGGCCTCCAACCAGTCTCTGAATTCTGTTTAAAAAAAGAGAAATTTCAGAGTAGATCTAATCTTATCCATCTACAATTGTTTTTCCATCTTTCATGAATTTTCCTAACCTTATTGCAAGGAAAATCAGATATGTGAAAGAACAAATTTTAGCCTGGTGCATCAGTGTGTTATTGTTTAGTGTATGGTTTCTTGTTTATCTTGTGGGTGCTCCTGTAGTTACTGGGATTTGGAAATATGGGAGAAGATGTTTTATTCTGAGTTTCCTTTTTTCAGGCAAAGGAGGTAGCAGAGCAGATCCTCATGTCTGCGTTGGATACCCTTCATTTAACACAGCTGAAAACTGCATTACGGTATGTGTTTTCAGATACTTATGGATTGATGTATTGTGTCAATGTATTACCTTCTTTTGGGAAAAAAAATGTCAAACGCTGATTTTAAATTGAACTTGCATGACTGCCAAATTCCAAGACTTCATAATACATTCAGAGTTCTAAAATTATTAGAATTATTCCATTTTACTTTTCCCGCTTTTTTAATCACTTCAGCAGTTCTTTTGCTTTAAATCGATTATTGCTAATTTTTTACATGTAGAATAAGTATAAAACACATTTTTCACTAATTCAATTTTTGTTCTACAGCTCCAAAATTGCTTTTCAAATCCAGGCTGTGAATAATCATGGCAGGTTTGTATCACTGTCTTATACTTCTTGCTATTAATTAGTGTTTTCAATGCACTATTTATTTTTCTTGTCTTGGAACTTCTGAGAAATCATTGCCATTGATTGTTTCGTACAAGATGTACAAATGCTTTTGTGTATGAGGCAGTTTAATGATTTCGTATCTGTAATTCTGTGTAATATTAAAAACATTTTTAAAAATCTAAAACAACTGGGCAGACCAATTTTATTAACTGTTAGAGAGTAGAAGCAGCATGAGCTCATTAAGAATTTCCTTTTAAAACTGTGCTTTTAACTTAGTTGATATCACAAGCTTGTGCTTTTTTATTCCCCATACTGTCTAACTGCCTCAAATTGCCTACACAAATAAGAGCTTATTCTAAAATTAAATAGCTTTTTGGGCTGCTATGAAGTCACTCAAAATGATCTAACCTTTAAATATTTAATTATCATTATTGTTCTAGAATTACTCCATTAGATAATGAGGATAGCCTGAGTTTGATTAAAACGGTAAGTAAGCTGTTCAGTATTCTGATTATATATTTTATTAGAAAATAGAGCTTGAGTGGCTTTTTTTATGGGGCATGCTGAGATGTTTTTTTATGTGAATACAAATGTAGGGGGGGAGATAGACTTCAGATGCTGAAACCGAGGTAAGATTGAATTTTGACATGAAGTCAGACAGAGCAATTTGGAATAAAACATTAAGATGGAGTTATGATCTCAGACTTTCCACCACAAGAGACAAGCGATGTTTTAGGAGTTCTAAAACATACAGATTTTGCTGCTTCCGTTAGTGTTTCAAGTTCTGCTTTCTCTTTGTTGCTGTCCAACTGTTTGCTGTAGGCGTCTATGATGGTATTTGACATTCCAGACTTGCTCACAGGAAGAGGATGCTTGGGATCTGTTGTCTTTTCAGAGTCCTTTCTAACATCACAGATACAAATAAAAGAAAAAGGTAACTATTTAAAATTCTAGCACTGATGTTGTTATTCTGTTAGCTCTGGTGTCATGGAGGAACAAAAGGGCTTCTGATGGATGTTACTAGTATTACCATTATGGTTTTAAGCCTTGTGTTAATTAAGACCTGAATGTTTTAGCTTGCTAGTAATGAATATCTTAAGTACCAAGTTACTCTAATTTCGCTGAAAGGACTTTGGGTTTTATGGCTGCCTTGTGATACAGCAGGGCTGAGGTGTAAAAAAATTCAAATGTCATAGTACCCTTCCTAAATTTTCCTCAACCTTAGTGAATGCTTTTTATCGTATGAGGAAATTCAAACAGCTCTCTTCCATCACTTTTGTAACACTCATTTTATACAGTATGTTTTAATTTCAGTTGTTCTTTGTTTGGAAGAGATGAAACGAAACTCAAAAAGGATATGACTTTTAGAACGCTTGGTTTTGGAATAGGCTTGCATTTAAAATACAGCACACTGAGTAATTTCCATAACTTCAGACAAGTGCATATTTTCCAGATTGTTTACATGTGACAAACATAGATAGTTCTTGAGGTTGTCTGAACAATATTTATGAACTCTTGTATCCAGACAGGCTGTGGCTTTTTAACCATGGGAGTTGGAACGCATTTGGTGGGGAGGCGAGCAAAGGAAGAAGCCATATACTAAAACCAAAATAAAAGCAGGGTCTTTGGTATTGTATAGCAGCTCTGTGTGTGTTATGGCACAAGAAGACTGGGAGCTAGTCTGCTCTGAAAGCTTCACTGAAACACGAATAAGTCCGTAAAATAATGAGGAAATTTTCATATTTCCTAAAGAAATTTCAAGTTATGAAAATAATATATTGAACAGTTTGAAGTATATGGATGGTATTATACTGCTTTGCTTTCCATCTACTTCCCTGCAGATGGCAGCATGAATTCAGAAACCAGCCACATAATACTGACTGCAGCTATCCCAAGATACGCTTCTTGGCTGGTTAGTACACACAAACTTATTTGAGTTTTTTTCTATACGTACAGATTCACAAATGAAAACTTGTTATAAAAGTATGGACGTATGAGGAAAAAGTATGGAACTTGGGCATTGAAATGGAATACTAATATATTAATACTCCTCTGTTTTTTTTCAATTTGGACACGAAGTGAAAACCTAACAAGTGGAAAGAGGCTGATTGTTCCATTCGTAACACAAGTTTTAAATTATTTCATTTTCACCAGTTCAGTCTTTTAGCAGTGTAAAAGCCTGGGTGTTTTTCAAGTTCGCAGTGTGACTTTTGAAAATTCTGTTTATTGTGGGGCACTTTAGATTACTTAAAAGTCTGCCCTAAGAGAAAGAAAGATCTGCTTCCAGACCTCTTAATGTACTACTCTGTGTTAGAGATATAATTCCAGTGAATGTTACGAAGTTGGATAACATTATGCACTTTAGCAATCCCTACTAATTAAACACTTTAACAATAATAAAGAATAAACCCAAATGGGATACACTAACATTAATAAAAATTAAAACCGAATGGGATACACTGCTTTGTGTCTATACAATACTATATAATACAATATTTTAGTCTATAAAACAATTTAATGGAGAATATACCTTTGAATGTGTTTGAAGGAACTATTTCAGTCCCATGGGATGACAGTATTGAAGAGCACAAAGCTGTCTCTGAAGCACCCTCTTCTCAGGACTTAATCTGTCTGTGGTACCTAAGGTTCTTGTTTGCCTTGATTCTTCTTTGATGCATTTTATTTAACGTTAGACTTGCTTTATCTTCCAACAATACAAATGGAAACTATTTCTGGCTACAGGTTGAAGATAGTGATGTGAAACTGTCTGAGAAGGCACAGCATCTGTTGAAGGTAAAATTAAACATTGTTGTTAATCTATAGAAGGTCCACTTTCAAGAATCAGTATTCCAAAAGTCTTAGCTGCTAGAAAAACTGGCTTTTATTATGTTTGTTACTCCTCTTCTACGAAAGACTTGCCTGTTCTACCCTCTCCTTCAAACTTTGACCTACAAAAAAAATACATTGTGTGAAATAAAGAAAACCTCAGACTTTTAGAAAGAACAACAAAACCCAAGAGCAAGAAGAGTTCTAATAAAGCTACAATTTCATGGAAGTCTCTCTAAGTAGTACTCATGGAGCTTATGTGTTTCAGAAAAAAACTCAAAACTCAATGCCACTCTACATGCAACTTTCTTTTAACTTAATTAACATGCTAAATGTCTAAAGGAAAACACTTTAAGCACTATGAAAAAGAAAAGAATTTGGAATCTGGGAACATCTTAAACTACATGAGTTTCACATTTGTGGTTTAATTTGCGGTTACCAGAAATCTTCATTATAAATAGATTTTCCTGTAATATACTTTTAGTTCAGTAGATTGACAATGTAAAAACAAAAAGCTATGCCTTGTGGTTGTGACAATAACTTGTAACTTAATAGCTGCTGGCAAAACCAAAATGGGGGAGAAGTGCTTAAAAAAATTATCCCCTTGACATGCTGTCTTTCACTAGTTCTTCTGTATAAATGCAGTTTAAACTCTTAAAAGTTCTGACAGATGCTGTTTAAAAAAAAATATCTTTTTCTCTTGAAGCAAAAACATGAGAAAATATTCTTGACAGGATTACGGTCCTTGATCCCTTCTGTGATACTACTGTTTGTGTTTCCTGTTTAGGAAGACAAATCTTTTCTGGGCACTTTACTCACGGGAGGCGATGGAGCGTATATTTATTCTAGCAATCCACAGGCCATGCCTGCAGAAGGTGAGATGTGGGGTTTTATTCAATTGCTTATGGAGTTGGTCCACTTCTGGTTTTTTTTTGGTGGGTTGGTGGGGTTTTAGACATGAGATGCACGGTTTCTGGGATTCACAAATCTGGTGAGCCTACCTATACTGGTGTCTGAAGCTTTCTTGCCATGTGCCTTTACGACTCTTTCTTGTTAAACTCCATGTTTTACTCTTTTGTCTCCAACCTCTACTTGAAACTCCTCGTCCTAGAAGAATTTTTCCTGTCAGAGCCATGGGCTTGTTTTTGAGGCACATCGGGCTCTTACACGATTGACAATGAGGCTTTGCAGACCTGGGAGATGGCTGTCTTCACAGTTAACGTTCAAAAGCACACACAAACCAGCTGTTTCTGTCCTTTAATAGATGATGTGCCATATGTTTTTCTGACTTTTCTGTATCTATATGAACATTAGGTTCAAAAGATTGGGCATTACAGTAGTGACCAGATGCCATGGGCTCCCAGCTCAAGAAGCGAAGGCAAATAAGTAACTGTTGGGCAATGCGATGCGCTGCCTGTGATGTAAGAGGGGATTGGAATGATTTGCTTCTAAATTTATTTCCATCCTTCTGTTCTGTGCACCTACTGAAGCCTCCTCCTGGAGCTGACATGCCGTTCCAGTTTTGTTCCATTGTCGTTTTCACTCAGGAACTCCAGTGCTTGTTAGCACAGATGCTCACCGTATTACAGGAAGACGCTCGATCTCGATTCTTTTTAGGTTCAGTCAAGTTACTGCTTTCTGACGTGAGATTACTAGCAGTAGTCTTAGATCGTTCCTTCTCTTTTGTCTTCAAGAACTTAAGTAACATGAATATCCCAGTAAAACAACTAAAGGTTGTTTAGGAGGGCTGTTGGAAGGGGTTTCCCTCACTCCACAGCCTTGCATTAATGTGCCTTAATTTGCCTTGAACCAATAGATACTTCTTAAGGCATAATATTTTTATATTTCACTGTACAGAGGAGGTGCTGTTATCACAGGACTGATGTACAACAGAAGATAACTAATACCTGAAGTCTGAGTGCTTCGTATACTCTGACAATCTTTAGAGGACAATCTTTAGCTTTATTGTTTTTGTAGTTAGGCAATGTAGTGTTGAGGGTAAGTAATGATGTGCGAGGCAATTAAACAGCAACTTCCATGTAGTGGAGTTTCTTTTGCTCTAATTGAACAGATTTTAAAGAGAGAAGGCTAATGCAGAATAACATATTTAGCTATTTTGCAATACAGTGCTGTGGCCGCATGCTCACTCAATAAATAACTAGAGAATGGTGATTTTTTTTTTTTGGCTTTGTGAAAACTGGTTGTGTGTGCCCCAGTGGAGCAATTTACTTTTTCCCTTTTTTGGGGAGATTTGTTTTATGTTGTGATAACTCTTGGGATGGAGAGTTGTAAGTAGGTAGTATAAGGACTATTATGTAACACATCAACGAGCGAGGTATTTTCTTAGGTGTCAAGTGAAAATGAACGTGATCTCGTTCCCTTTCATGTACACTGCAAGACAGTTTGCTGTGCTCTAATTTGGGCTTTACTGAGGTTGCAGCTATGACATCTGGCAAGATTAGCTGCAAAAGGTGCTGTCAGACACTCATCTGCTCTCTCTGTCACTCGTGTGTTGTACTGTAATAAGGCATACATTCGTGGCTAAAATGCATCAGAAAACTTCAGGCTGTTAAACCTTTCCCTTTGTATGCTAATGCATCTGCTGTGTTACAGATTTTTGCAGGATGAACTTAACTGAGTTAATCAGTCTTGCCAATTAAACTTTCTTTTGTGATTAATCACTTGTGGAAAATATACAAGCAGTATATCAAGTTGTTCTTGATACATTTCACTGACTTGCATGTTAAGGAAAGCTGTTCTAGTTTGGATTAATACTGTTTTTGGTTTGCTGTTCTGTTACAAAAGAATTAGCATCTCTGATTTCTCTTTTTTTTTTTTTTTTCCCCATTGACACATTCTCTGTGAAGTGTGATATTCTGAGAGATTTGACAGAAATGTATTTCATGTGTTGTATTTTGCATTTTTCTTCCTCGATCACTCAAGAGAAGGCACATACCTGTACAGTGGCTTGTTTTTTGAGAGCACAGGAAGCATCAGCAACGAACATGTTGTATATGTAAACTGCTAAACCCCCACACCTATGTAATTTTGTATGACTTTGTCTCCATTCTGCTTGCTCTGAATTTGGACCTTCATTTTCCGATTGTAGTGTTTCCCAATTTAACAGCAGCTGTTTCTCCAGTGTCATTTTTATGTTAACTAGAAACTTCAGTCTAAAACAGTGACATTCATAGTTAGCAGAGCCTCTATGCTTTTTAAGGAACTGTTGAAAACACGTATCTAGGTATGGTGATTTGATTTCATGTCAAGATCCTTATTAAAACAAAGACTTAACAGTGAACAGTTTTGACATTGCCATTTCAAGAGGAAAGCATCTTAATTCCTTCATGTCTTCTAAGTCATTGTTTGATAGATTGGGCTAGATCTTCAGTCATGTTTAGCTGTATGTCGCAGTTACTTTGCTGCTTGGCTTTGCATTTTTTTGAAACATAACTCTGAATAATGCCATTTTTTTTCTTTTTATCGTTTGTTTGTTTCCTTTAAAGAAAATATTAAACCTTTCCCTTTTGCTGACTCGCATGCTTCCCTGTATGGGATGTGATCCATCCATGGTCCAGCACTGGTTAGCAGAGGTCCAGCTGGCAGCCTCTGCTTAGTCATCTGTTCGTGGCTTTCTTATGACTGTTGGAAATTAGCTTGTTGCTGATGGCGGGTTCTAGCGCTTTGGTGGAATTTTGTTTTTCTCTTCTGCACCATCTAGCCTTGCTGTTTCTTATTTTCCGGCTTCTTTCCCTAGTCATGGAGGTTTCTTAAGAACCAAAGTGTCTGTAAAATGGCAAGAAAAATGGAGTTAGAACGAACACTGTGTCTCCCTTGGCTGTCACTAGATTGTTAGCTTCCAGGGAAATTGCCAGTAACAGTTGTCTCTCTATACAAAAGAAAATTCAAGTCTGCAGATGAAGGGCTTTTCTGTTTTAAACTTTTGTCTTGGTCAGGAAGTGAAAGGAAAAATGTTGCCTTACTTTTTACATATATATATATATATATATATATATATATATATATATATATACACACATACATATATGTGTCTGCACAGTATGTGTCAGTATATTGACATTTTGCTGTAAATCTGACCAACTTGTTAAGATCTTTAAATTTTCAGTTGTTTTGGATGTAAGTTTTTCTTATTTCATCAGTTTCCTGGAAGTTTGCTATTCAATATGCTGGAAATTTGTTGGGCTATAAAAAAAAAAGCCACAGAATATTTATTATAAGTGGGCTTCAAGGGATAAGATTAAGTCCAATGCAATTGTATTCATGATTCCTACCCTTGACAGTGAGATCCAGTAAAGATCTAGATACTACCCCAAACCTTTACTCAAATGTACTGCATGTTAAGTATAACAAAATTCTACAAGAACATAAATTTCTTCCTCAGAAAGAAGAGGCATTTGTCACAGGATGCTGAAATAATGATATATAGCTAATAGAATTTTTTTTTTCTTTCTCATTCTAGGCAAATTGTACTTCTTTTCAGATGGCATCCTCTTTTCTGATCCCCACCATGGCAGCATTTCCATTTCAAAGAACCACATGAGTTCCATTTCTCTCTATGATGGGGTGAGTATTTTGGTTGTTCCTAATGTCATAAACTTTAATCAATTTTTAACAATACTTCTGTAGGGTACTAGTACAAGATTTCGTTTTCAGTCGCAGTTTTACAAGTGTGTGCATAAAACTGTAATAAATGATGCAAATCTCTACACTTTTGGTATTGGTTAGCTTAACCAATTACGAATTAGCTAAAATATAAGGAGGAGAGAATTTTGTAGTAGACTGAGTTACCGATGTAGTCTTAATAGTGTGGAAAATCTCTTTTTATTAGAAGAGAAATTGCAGAACATAGATGCCTTGTGCATGCTAGCAGTCTTAAGTGGTGGATAGAGAAAAGTTCAAGGCATTGTGAAGTCATATGGTGTTTTAGAGGGTGAAATGCTGCCTTCTATTCAAAATATATTTAACCTTCAGGCAAATGTTCGTGGCAGTGTACTACTTATCTCTGGAGAGGTCACGAGCAGTGTCTGTCTACTGTTGCAGAGCATTGTATAACTGACAGGGTGAAGGGAGTGACTGGTTCATGTTTCCCGAGCGAAGAAGTGAGAAGGAAAGGTGTGCTGTACTTAATTACACATATTCTGAGTAATTACAGTAAAAGACACAATGTCAAGCATAGACTTTTGCCATTCCTGTGATCAACTTGTATCACTTGGCCAACTTGCCACGTTACTAGTTTGGTCTTCTGGCTTAGTGGGATTTGAGGGTTAGGTTAATGACGACAACTCAGCTTTTTTTTCTTTCCTCTTCAAGGTAGGCACACTGGGTTAACTATCACTTTTTTTGGAATGGAAAAGAGATTATTTTGGTTGTTTATTGTTTCCTAAGCACTGAGGAAAAAAAAAATAGAAAATGTTTCCTTTAGTTTCTGTTTTCTTTAGGTACAGTATTACACATTTGTTTGGTGACCTCCAGAAAGCATTGTCTTGCTATGATTCCATCATATAATGGAGGAAACCAGTAAAATACAATAAAACTTTATGATTCAATTGAGATGAAAACACAACTGTGAAGAGAATCTTACCTTAGCTGCCTGCTCTTGTATATCACGTTGATTGCCCCTTGGTAGTTTAAGAAGCTATTTTAACTCTGACCTTCCTTCTATTGTTTGAGTCAAGACACTCACTTTCATGAAACTAGCTATTTATGGGACCTGGCTATCATTCTTGAACTGATGCCAGATTTTTGTGTAAAGCTAAACCTCGACAGAGCATTTTATTGTTCAACTGACTTGGCATAATACAAGGGTGGAGAGCTTAAAACATTAAGAAGTGACAGAAGAAGGGTAATTGTTAGTACGCCTTTTCCGAAAGGTATTGCAGCAACAGTATTGATGGAAAAGAAAGGATAATTTAATGCTAGGATTAAAGTAAAAGATACAAAGACTTGAAGTGATGCAAAGTAGACTTTCTTAGCACCACTATTGCCATGCCTGCTAGCTTCTTCTTTCCTTACCTTGAAAAGGTCCACACTTCTGCCTCTAACATGTGCTACAGACTCTCTTCTGTAGCTGCTCAGTGTCTCAATAAACTGTATCACCTTTTTCTTTATACAAGTCTTTACTGTATGGAGCTTAAGCTACTATGTGCTTGGTTTTAAGGTTTTATTTAAGACCAAGTATTTCAGCTTCTAAGTACCTCAATCCAGGATTCATTCTGGCCATTAATCAATCAAACAAATATGAAGTGATACTTACTAAGTAATACCTAGATTTCACAACAGCATTAACATATTGTAAAACTGTCCATGGAGATTATTGCTGCTTCTTTTCAGCTTTTTTTCCATTTCTGGAAACATTTTCCAGGAGGAAGATCACATTTTGTTGGACCCTTTGCGTGCAGATTGCAGCATGTATGAGTAGGCCTTTTAGTCACTTCTCATGAAATCTGTAAGCTATCCTGCAGAATCCAGGATCTGTGGACCATGTTTCAAAAGCCATTTTCTCTTCAGAGAAGTTGCTCTCTCTTAGGAGAACATTTTTGTATGCTCTTCAGTAACCTCAATGACTTTGAGAGGATTACTTCTATAATTAATCCCTCAGTCAGCAAAGGGTAGATTCTGTTTGCAGATGTCTCTGAATTAATACCAATTCTTATGTAAGTGTTCCCCAGCTTGAGCTTTTTCTTCTTGAAAACAGTAAGTAGGGTTCTTCTCCCCCTTCTTTTTAAAGGGAGTTGGATGCTACTGATTTGAACGCTAAGTAATGGAATCCTCATTTTCCAGAGATGTTTCTCACTGCTGAATTGTACTCTTTTTCTAATGCTTTGGTGTGAAGAGAGTTACAAGTCAGAGCTTGAGCATAAAACACTTCAGCGTCCTGCAAAGTTGTACATAAATGTGTATCTTGAAACCCAGAAAGTGAAGGGTCAGTGTTGTTTTCTTAGAACAAAAATCGGACAACTTGGGTTCAGTGCTTCTAAGAGAGACTGATCTGGAGGGTTTCAGCTTCATAATTCAGAAGACATAATTCAGGTGAAGAAGCAATAGATTTAGTAGAACTTGTGCTCATTAAAGAACCTGAGAGAAACAGGACACTTCTAACATGCAAGTGACCTACACTTTGAATTGCAGGCCTGATAGTTGTATCTCATTGCAGCATGGCTTCTTTCAGGTCAGAAACTCGAGAACCTGGTACAAAAACGGGTTTGCAACAGCACCATGCCATCCTTCTGATCTCTTTAGCTGACAATTCATTCCTCCAAGGTATCTGTGTCAGAGGAGATGTGTGGGTATGGATGAAGGTGGCTTTGTTGTGAAGCATTCACAGAGGAAAAGATCTAAAGGTCTAGTTTTTGGTGAAGGGAAAAGAGTAGATATTAAAATGCAAGTTTTCTTTTCAAGATGAGACAAATCTTAAGTGCTTAGAACAAACTCACATGCTTTCTTTAAAGCTTACAGTATCTCAAATAGTAGCAAAGTAGAAACTGAAGAGTAGTATAAGTGCAATTGATATTTCTGCTCCATACCTGTGCTACACAAGCTAATGTGTGTTTGGATCTTTATGCATGCCGAGCTATGACTGTAGGAGTTCTCTTCTGATCTCTGCTATTTAAGGTATTAAGCCATTTTTTCACTTTCAAAATTATAATTTATCCTGTTTCTTCCTTTTTTTAGGATTCAACCAGTATTGTTGCTGCTCTCTTTATAGACATCAAAAGTTCCTTGCTTGCTCATCTACCGATTGAATTCCATACCCGAGACAACTTTTTGATGATTGCACTTTTTCCCAAAACAAAGATTTATAAAGCTTTTTATTCACAGGTAAAGTAAAAAAAGATTTGTTTGGGTGCGGGAAAAAACCACACAGTTACTCCTTGTGTTTCAGATGAGAGGCAAGGGTGAATTTGTTGATATCTGTCTTAACTAATTAAACGTGGAAAGAAGAAGGGGTTGATTCTCATGTTAGCTGACCCACTAAAGCTTGTCACCCGATAAGTAAATACAGGAAGGGTTAAAGTTCAAAGTCTTTCCTGCATCAGGCTTCACAAGCAAAACCTTTTACTATATCTCAGTGAACAAGCACAGTTTAGAAAGGAGAAGGGACGGTTAATACTGAGGGAACATCAAGTTAGGAAGTATGTTGAAAACCTCCTCTGTGAAGCTGGATGGGATTCATGGAGGATTTTGGGAGAGATGGCTGATGTGGTTTTGAGGCTGCTTATCCTTTATAGAAAACCAGGGTGTTGCAGTAGGAAGGACTGTTACAGATCCCTTTCTCAATAGCAGCAGATAGCATAGCAAGGGGCACTAAGCATAGATTGCAGCTTTGAAGATTCAGACTGAATTTTAGTAGGAGGTTGGGGCAGAGACTGGAGCAGGTTACCCAGAGAGTGAAACTCCACCCTCGAAGATTTTGAAAACTTGGCTGGACAAAGTCATGGCGGAGCCCATCTGTACTGCCAGAGTCCAGCTTTGGGCAGGAGCTGGGTCTGGAGACCTCCAGAGGCTCTCTTCCAACTCGAAATTCTGATTCTCTGGGTGATCTATGGCATCTGCCTTGCAGACTCAAGATTGCTGTGGAGTGGACTGCCCTGCCATACAGACCTTCCCAGTCCTTCCCAGCGGCGTTATTGCTCCTGATCTTAGGAACTTGCATGTGTGAGAAACTCTGACTTATGTATGCATTTGTAGTGATTGTGTTGCTCGTTAAGTTTAATGCTCACCATGTGCTTTCGGTTTATCTTCTGAAGCCAGCGAGTGCTCTAAGAGCTTGTTTTCTAGTAGTTGCATTTTAAATGTAGCACTGGTGTATAATGGGCTACAGCAATTGTATGTAGTGGCAGAGGTTCTATTGTGTTTTTTTTTGCGGTTAGACACATTTGGATCGTGATCCTTGGGGAAGTTTTGTTAAAGTCTTTAAGTATCCCATATGGCGTTGTATTATTCTCGAAGTAGACTGGCTTCATGCATTGTAATGCAGAGGCTTTTAATAAACAAAACTTTATAACAATAGCACTTTTGAGGAAATGAGCCTGGAGATTTTAGGACTTCACAAAGGTTTTAGTATGTGGTCATAACACTGAACTGGAAAAGACCACCTAGTTCAGTGAGTAGTCCCCACTGGTAGTATTAATGTTACCATAAAATTTCTCCTCCTTTTGTCCTCAGTGTTTAGATTCCTCCCGCTGTTGCACTATTTCAGTGGTTGGGAATATTTTGTTCGGTTTTGAATTTTCAGCCTATTTTATTAGGTCTACTTTTATATCCGTGTTTTTGTTGGGTTTTTTCTTTTTTTTTTTCTTCCCTCTACCAGCCGACATCCTTGAGGTATTCAGAAATATTCTTTCTGGCTTATTTGGCCTAATAAAATAAATCCAGATCCTTTTTAATCTATCCTTATAAATAGTTCTCTTTTTCTTCTGATCATTATAATGCTTTTCTTTTGATCTGTTTTTTGGCTGTAGATATCCAAACTGTGTGTAGTATCTGAGATGAGGGTATTTGTTTCTTGTACAGAGGTAATAATAGTTCTCTCTTCTGAAAATGTTCAGAGGTACCCTTGATTTGTCTTTACTTTTCACTTGAATTAGTTAGTGAAATTTTTTTCAGAAATTCCTTTAGGTCCTTTCTCTTCCACTGATACTCCACCTGATTCTAGAAATGTTTGTGTGCTCATTCTTGCTTTCATGCATTCCTCTCCTATTTTTCTTTCTGTTCCTTCCATACTTAGATCTGGTTTTCTATGAAGCATCTCAATGCTGTGTAGACTGTCTCCCAGTTTAGTTCCCCAAAACACTGTCATTCCACTTCAGTCTATGCCAAATTTATTGCAGAGAGTGTCACGGGGCATTACCTAAGCAACTGTACTGGTGAATGTTCCCAGCCTTCTGCTGCTTTTTTCCAGTGCTATTTATTCTGGTCCTCCTTTGAGTTAGCTTTTTACCAAACAGTTCTATGCTGAGTTTCAGTTTCTGCAGTTTAACAGTTTCTCATCTGGCACCATACCAGTTGCTTTGCTCAAGTTCAAGTAGACGAAACATGTCTTTTGTCTTGAAGATGGCATCTTATGAATGAGAACTATTCATAAGATCAAGTGTACCTGATTGTGTAAGCCATGGAAACATATTATTGTATTTTGTTAGTATTTACCTTCAGGTATTTATTGATTTCCTCCCAAATTTTCTTCTAAAACTCTGCATGCCATTGAAGTCACACAGACATAGCAGTCATTCTGCAGACCTATAGTTACAAAGATTCACTAAAATGTAGGTACTGGTTTTACTCTTTACAACCATATGGCATAATATCTCTCTTACTGGACCTGTGCTTTAAGTATTCCAAACCTTCTTGAAATAGGGAACGGCAATTACCCGTTCCTCCAGACATCAGTGTATTAAATTCCTTGTAACTGAGACAGTTGCAGGATTTTGAGCACACAGAACCGCAATCTGGTTTGCAGATCCTGCAAAGAGAGGACAGCACCTTTCATGTCCTCACTCGAATTGGTAGGGGAGAAAAATTTGCTTAGTCTTTGGGATGTACTGATTTCTCTGGTGTTCTTCATCTTCTGTAATGCCACAGCAGCTCTTCTTAAAAATGTTAAGTTATACGAAAAGGACCGATTTAGTTCCATTGAGTTCTGTCTCAGGCTGACCTGTGTTTTCACTTTATCCCTAGCCCTTTGACTTCTAAGGAACAGAATTTTCTGTTGACCAGTGCTTCTTTCCATCCCTTGTAGGCATTTTCCTTGGTCTCTTTTACGTGTTTTGAAGTGGTTGGTTGGTTGTGTGGATCCTTCCACATAAGCAATATTGTCTTTGTTAATATCAAAAGTTTATTTTAGTTTGATGTTTTTTATCTCAGTACCCTTGTGTTTAGGATGCAGATTTGTTAATGGAAAGCAGTCTTCCCCCCCAGTTGTTTTGTCTTGTAGCAAATTATTGTGAAAAATGACAATGGCTGTTGCCTTTACTTATTAAAAGAAGGGAAATACCGAACACTTAAATGACTGTGTGATTCATCTGAATCTGATTTCTAGGTTCAGAGTGCCATTCATATTAATGTGACTTGGCTAGAGCAATAGGATGCGAGCCAAAACACCGTTCCCTAGAGAAACGAAGGGCTCTTTCTTTTTTTTTTTTTTTTTTTTTTTTTTGCAAAGGAGCAAAGTTTTTCTTAAATTTCTAGACATGATTACGGCAATCTTACCTCATGAAAATTACAATACTATTTCAAGGAGACTTATGTTAATTCAGTTCCTGCTGTAGAGCAGTTGGACTATTATTACCTAGCATTTTTATCAGTGAGGCATGCTATGACTAAAAGATATATGTACTGTTACTTTGGTGGGTAAATTTTTCTCCCAGGATCTTTTTCCCCAACTATTAAGATGGGTGGAAAACTAGACCATTTCAGTAAAGTCACTTCTTAGTGCAGTTCCAGTCTAGCCAAAGAGAAGCTTACAAAATCTGATCTTTGGAGACTCCTTCCATATTTTGAATTCTTGCAGCAAAACCAGCATTGCGAAACATTTAATGGCTAGTTAAAATGCCTGTATCTTATTAGGTGAACAAAACCAATTCCTAAACAAATTCAGAACAAATTTTGCAAATTAATGATGCTTATGCATAGGTCGGATTTGTTCCAGGTTTTCTCTTCGTGGCAAAACCAGACAAACTCAGGAGTATCTTTAAGGGTTGTCCAGGAAGAATTCCTGTCTGTGGAACAAAAGAGACTGTAAGTTCATGCCACTTGTTCCAGTGCAACTATACATTAACTGTGTGCTACAATTAGAAAAATGCTGTTGCTCATTGAAGATTTTGATAATGATTCAGAAGGGAATTTTTGCTTTCTTAGTGCAACACTCGCTTTATTTTTTTGTACTAGTTAATATGTAGCCATCTGGTTTATAGAAAAATAGATTTCTAGGTTTCTCCTTTAACTAACCTGTTAATTAATTTGCTTATTTTAGGCATTCCAGTGTTCAGAAGCTATTTAATGCCTTGTCTTTTCCTTCTGGGGAAAGATGCAGAGAGATGAAAATATCTGCTGCCCTTCCAGAATTGGAGAGGTGAGGAATTATTTTTGTTTTCAAGGAATCAGTTTTGTCAGAAATAATACAAAAATATTTTGGTACGTGTAATACTCATCTGAAAATTGCTTATTTAATAACTTTGTCTTCACACTAGATATTTTTATTCTGAGATTAATTATTTCCTCTCTAGGAAGCCTCTTTTTGACCTTCTAACAATCTTATTTTATTTCCCAACTATTTATATGAATGAAGTCTTTTGGTCTTGCTTGTAAGAAAGTAAAACTTTTATTTTTGAAAGGTTTGTGCAACATTTTACAGTCAGCAGCGTCAGTCACGAGCCAGTAATGAGAGCACATCTTCCTGTTCTATTGCAACAGTCAGAAATCATTCCTGATAGCAAAGCAGAAAGTGATAAGGTAAGGAAGCAACCCAACAATGTTTCCTAACATAGAATATTGAGCAAATATTCTGTCTGTCACAGTTCTACAATTTACTACATTAGGGAATGTAGTAAAGTACTGATGTATATTTAGCCATACTCTCTGCCTCCTTTTCTGGTTGCACCAGTTCACAGTGTGAACTTGTTTTGAGTCTGTTTCTTAGAATAAATTACTCTGCCCTGTTTTCCTGATTACATTACTTAAATTTTTTTTTCATTTAAACAATCTAATGTCCCTTCTGCCTGATAAAATAGAGGTAGAAAATGAGGCGTAGATCTTCAAGTGAGCGGTTTTCTCTAATGTCCAGGGAGAGTGAGCCCTAAAGCAGTAGCTTGTTTTTATGAATTGCTGAATAATTTAACTGAATTGTTCTCTGGAACATAAAAGTCCTTTAAATAGCATAGAGGTAGCACATGATATTTAACATTTGCTGATATTATCTGTAGAACACTCGGTTCTCTATAGGGGCAATAACAATTGTCAGACTTAAGGAGTGCTTTAAATAGCTTTTCAGGGAAAATATTTCCTTGTAACTTTCCAGCATTTGAAATCTGCCCTAAGCAAGAAAGTCAAAGCAGCAGGAATATAGTCCTTCTCTCTGAATGTTGCGGTATGGTGGCAGATTTACTTCCTGGGATCTAGTTCAGAGATCATTCTGACACTTGGATCAAGTATTCATCAATAAACCCTTATGACTTTTTTTAAAATACAGTTTTAAAGTTCGTTTAACTGTCTTTGTGTATGTTTAAAAAAAGAAAGAAAAATCTTTTCTTTTTAATGTTTATACCAAATTCCATAAAACATGCAAACATTCTGAGTTACTTCTCTAGATCTGTTATGAATACTCATTTTCTGTGAGCATCTGAAAGTGATTTTGAGGATAGGATACACAGAGCCTGCAGATGACTATCTTCAGATACCATGTAGTTAGACACTGGAATTAGGTAATTCGCTAGTAGCGGGATGTTATGTGGCCTGATGGCTGGTTACCAGTGTGACATAATTTCTTAAGTCAGTCTCAGCACAGAGAGTTGTTTTGGTTGTGTTTCATCCACAGCTCATTTTGCTTACTTCTATAGCCCGATCCAGTATGCAGTGTAGAAATACACACACACCCCCCCCCCACACCCCTTCTTGGAGATATGCTCTGACTGCTTTTCAGTGTTTCTTTGCTATGATCCCTGTCTAAACACCCCAAGAATACGCATCATGAAAGCAGAGTTGCTTTATGCAGAAAAGCTTTTCGTATGTTGGTGCTCTTACTGTGCAGCTTCTTCCCTATCCTACAGAAAATGCAGCTTTGCTGGAATAAATTTTGTGTATAGCCTGCTCGGTTCTGTATCAGAAATGTGGAATTGCTCTTTGTGTTTGACAAGACTGATGTACACCATCACTTCTTGAACCATTTTGCTCAAATATGTTTGATGTTTTCAAATGTACCCTGTTCATCATAGGAAACATCACCTAGTTGGTATCACTTGCAGTGTTTTGTCTGACATTTGCATTAATACTTACACTTCAGACTATATTTTAATGTAAACGTTTTGATAATGCTGTTTACTGTATTTGTTAGTTATCCTTTCACTGTATTTAAGGTATGAAAACCAACATAAAAATGCATCTTTCTAAAATTATGTGTATCTGCTTTAGGTTTCTGTGGTGAGTGTCACTTGTGTTTAGACTGAAGATTTTATCAAGAAAGAAGCTTTATGTGTGTGCAGCTGTTGTAGCTCATTTCTGGTCTTCAGGTTTCCCCCCCTTCTTACCTGTTCCCTGTGTTTCAGGTGGTTATCACCATTATAACAGGTCTTCCAGGATGTCGTTGCAGCGATCTGTGTGCTTTTCTGGTAACTTTTAACAAGGAGCATGGAAGGTTAGTACAGTTTTGGTTTTATAGTCCAAAGCACTGGTTGTACTAATCGCCACAGAACTACTCAGCGTGAAGGGAAGGAATCTATCAATGTTTCACTTTATTTAATTTGTAAACATATATGTTCATAAGAATGAATTCAGTAAATACTATGAGGCCCCTTAACTAGTTCTACAGAACATACTGTAGGGTAGAGTATTTTTACTTTTGTTCTATTACTTCAAGTGTGATAAATAACAGAAGAATTTTGCTTTCGCTAAAAGTAATTAAACAATTACTTTTATTGAGTTAGGCTAAAGCTATTATTAGTAACACGATCCAAATTTTAAGAAAAGTAAGAGAATTTACTACTGGGAAAAGAAAAGGGAGGAATTGATCTGAGGAAACACCAGCCCAACAGCCCCCCCTCCCCTTCTCGGGATGCTCACCAGATGGTCCATATCAAAGGGTGGTAACTCCTTTGCAATGGGATGAGAAAGAACAGGATGGGCCATCCCTGGTATCTCCTGTCCTTGAGATAAGAGAGGAACTGAAACCACTGAGCCATAAAGACAAAGGAGCTGCAAATTAGCCCAGACTTGAAGGACAAGGTGTATGTGACCACAGGGCTGAGTTGGCGCAGAAGGAAGGGTCAGCTAGCGAACACCGTGAAGAAGACTCGGGGCCTTCATCTGCAGGCCCCTGCCCACTGCCACCGGGGAGCACTGCGCAGGCGCCACGGGAGGAATTTGGGGTGGGGGGATATGTTAATGATTTCTCGGAACTAATTGTAATATTCCCTCCCTATCCTTGGAGTAGTGATGCATATGTATTAGGGTAGATGAATATGTAACCATTTATACAATAAAAGGGAGCCCCTTTGGCTCCAGGGCGCGCCATTGCGCCCAGCCCTGTATTCTTTGCTGCACTGACTTTGTCCCCAATAAAACCTTTTTTTTTATATATACATGGGCTTGTTTCTCACATCAGGTATCTCATTTACCCACCTTATGCCAGGTAGATTTGCCTTTAGATTTTAGACATTTAGATAAGAACAGCAGCACAGGAGATTTCTCTGTCGATATTCCATATTAAGAATACCACAGGTATCACCTTAGATCTGTGATGTGTCTGGAACTATCACTGATGCTACAAACAGTTTAGAATAATCTTAGAAGGGCCAGATGAATCCTGCCTTAAGCAAGCGTGGACGTTGTCACAACTTGAAGGAAACTGGTGAAGAGCTTCCATTTGTTGACTTGTGGTAGTGATTCTAAAATGCAATTTTCATGGATAAAAGACTATGCTAACAGTCCTTGCTACAGCATGGTTTTTAATCTGACCTGGTTTCTATTCTACAATAGCAGGAGGATACATTCACGACATCTATTGTATGGCCATAAGAGAAGTCCACTGTAGGAAAATGCCATTCTGTGTCATGATATAGCTTCTGGAAAATAAAAAAAATAAATCCTTTTAAATCTTACAGCCAAACACCTTAGCATTTAATCTTAGTAATGATTTGGACTGTTTTCTTTGTATTCCTTTTAACTCAGTGCCTTGATATTAGCAAGTTGGTTCAGAACAGTTTTGTGGTTCTGTTCTTAGGGCAAACACATAAAGTGACTTTTGAATGTTCCGTAATAATACATTTCATCATGTTTTCCTGCATATGTCATAATTACTCTTTATTTTTGCAGTGTTTTCATGCCCAGAATCTTTTGAATTGGATTCATATAATTTTTGTTTACTGCATCACTAACAAAGATCAGAATTACTCATATGATGTGCTTCTTTGAAGAAGCTGTTGAACATGGTTTTATTAAAAAAACAACAACAAAAGCCCACAAAATCTTTTGGCACTAATGTAAAGAATGTGCTTATGCTGGAAATGATAAAAAGCCAAGTAAATTCCTCTTTCCCATGTGGTATGAGAGAGGTGGAATCTTAGGGCTTGTCAAATTTATTTTTAGTCTCTTGGTTCAAAATAAAAAGAAAACAGAAATACTGTGTCACAGAACATTAACTTTTTTCCTTGTTTTCTGTTGTTTAGGTGGATAGTTTATCGTCAAACTATGGACAGTCCTGAATGTTTCAGTGCAAGCCACTTCCAGCGGTACCTCTCCAGTGTCCTGGAGGCTCAGCAAAACCACAGTGTCCGTCAGTCCACTTATGCTAAGAAGAACAAGCGTCTCTTGGTGGTCTTGCAAGGGTAAATGATTGAAACTGTTTGAACTGTTGCATGGAATGAGGGATTTTCTGTTCCCTTCCTATTTCTGTTTTTAAACTTTCCCATCACTGAAGCAGTCATATTTCTAAAAGTGCTAAAGTGGGGTACTCTGAATTCTGTTTTACGTATGTAAAAACTCAGCTTTTTTACAATCTGTTAATTTTATTGCTTGTTACTCCATTGGAAAAAAAGGTATCTGTAGTCTTCCTTCAATCATATGGAAGGAAGGACTGAATTTGGTGCTTCTTCCCTATTTGGGAGATTAATTTCGGGCTGCTCAAAAGAAGTTTTCCTGCCCTTTCCAACTACATCTTAAACTGTTGTTAAATGACACTTTTTTTATTGGTGCATCTGTGTGATTTTGTTTTGGTTGGTTATCTGTCCTTAAAGCCTGCTGGAGTACTTGCTGTCTGTCTTTAAAGTCATAGAATTAAATGAGGGCAATAACGCAGAGGTAGCTTGAGATTGTGTTTTAAGTTGCACTCTAGAGCTGCAGGTAAACATTCAGGTCCCCAACAGCAGAAGGACACGGAGCTGCTCGAGCGGGGCCAGGGGAGGCCACGAAGATGCTGGGGGGGCTGGAGCAGCTCCCCTGGGGGGCCGGGCTGAGAGAGTTGGGGGGGTTCAGCCTGGAGAAGAGAAGGCTCCGGGGAGCCCTTCGAGCGGCCTCCCAGGGCTTAAAGGGGGGGCAGGAGAGGTGGGGGGGGACTCTGGGTCAGGGGGTGGGGGTAGGACGAGGGGGGACGGTTTTAAGCTGAAAGAGAGTAGGTTTAGGTTATATATAAGGCAGAAATTGTTCCCTGTGCGGGGGGTGAGGCGCTGGCCCAGGGTGCCCAGAGCAGCTGTGGCTGCCCCCTCCCTGGAAGGGTTCAAGGCCAGGTTGGACGGGGCTGGGAGCACCCTGGGCTGGGGGCAGGGGGCCCTGCCCGGGGCAGGGGGGTTTGGACTGGATGATCTTTAAGGGCCCTTCCAACCCAAACCAGCCTGCGACTCTGTGATTATGACCTCTGAAACTACTAGCAGAAAGCAGGCTGTCAAAAACTCACTTGATACAGCAGGCAATATTGAAGTAAGACTGATTAACATGTTTCAGATAAGTGTCATTTTTCTTGGGGAATAAAGGTGAAGACTCTGAGCCATCTCTGTTTGACATTTGCATCTCAAGCACAGTCTTTGAGAACAAGTCTCGTCTGCTATATGTTTGCGCACTCAGTTTCTGAGTCATTAGCAGTTACATAATCTAGCTTGAGGGAAGTGCTACCCTAACCTGGCTGGAGTGGTTTTGATTCCCAGGCTACCAAGTATTCCTCCTTTTTGCTAAGAGTGTATGTATGAAGCTTAGCATTTTCTTCATTATGGTCCATTCTGATAGTGTTAAAAAGCATTTTTTTTTTTTTTCCATGGTAAAGTCAGGTATTGACTGGGTGGTATAAAGTCCAGTGATGTGCAAAATAACTGATATTCTGGCAGCAGCACTGGCTTCAGGAATGGCTAATTACAAGTTTTCAGTGCTTTCTGGGTAGTTGAGTGTTGGTGTAGACAGCTGTAAAGTAGCTGGAGTTCTCTAAATAATCCATTAACTTGATAACTGACAGTATAGTTTTGAGAGAAAATTGCTGCTGTCTGAGAAATAAATACCCAGAATAAAAACTCAGTATCACCTAAACTTCACTATGATACAGAAATATAATACAGCAGTGGCTGGAGTACTGATAAAAAATGGACGAATTAATTATAGAAGCATGCTTGAAATGGAATGCTGATAAGTGAGAGGTGTTGCTTTTTGATTTCTTTTTTTACTTGAACCATACTTAGTGCTTAATATGCTTGGCAGTTGGCATAACGTGCTTGTATTACATTATGCTTTTTGTGTTTCCTGAAAGCTGAACTTGTCAGTTGTTCAGTTCAAAATTTATACTGCTTTTCTCTGTCAACAATTTCTTTCTAATGTTATTTGCAGTCAGCTTAATTTGTCTGGATTTACTAAGTTTTGAACTGCTTTAAAACTATTTTGGTAGGCTTTTTTAGAACTCTAACCTTCTTGCAAGAAATTGATTTCTTACTAGATGTTGAAATGTGTCATTCTGTTTCTCTGAAACCATATTCCATTTTGTTTTCTTACAGATATACTGATGTTATTGATGTTGTACAGGCTCTGCAAACTCATCCTGACCCAGATGTGAAGTCATCTTTCATCATTGGCGCAGTTAATACTTGTGTAGAGCCACTGAGTTGCTATATGGAACATAGGTACACTTTAAGATATTTTTACTAGTTTGAAAATAAATATCTAAGCTTGAGACCACTTTTATAATAATTATATATACTTGATGGTTAAATCCATCGAGGTATTTGAAATCTCACAACTGCTAGGTATTCCATCTTGGATGAACGTTGAAGTGCTCTTTGATTTATAATGATGACACTTGGTTTCCACTAGGTATATAATTATATATAATATTAATGAAAGTTTAGTTTGTGGAAGAATTAACAAGGATTGTCATTAGCATACTGCTTAAATATGTATACTCTGGCTAAGGACTCTAAAATCCAGACAGTCAACTGTGCCGCCACGTGTGCTTTTTAAATCATTCTTTTTCTCACATTGTTTTTGTGAGCATGACTGAAAATTGAGATGTGTATCTCAGTTTGGGTTATTGGTTGTGTCACTGCTTTTGGATGTTAAATGAAGACTTTACAGATTTTGCAATACAGAACTTATGGGAAGCAGGCCCAGATTTTGTTGAAGAGACTGACAAAGCACGGAAGCAAAAGCATTGCAAGTATTAAAATCTGATATCCTGGGTTACTGCAGAGGCAGGGTGGGGAGGAAACGGTAGCAAAGCCAAGTTACTGACATTTTAAAAGAGCGTGGTATGGTTGCTGCTTCATAGTGTATGTATGTGCTCTGTGCTTCAGCAAACGTGGAACTAATTTTGTAGACCTATCTGTAAAATTGTAATACTTAAATTGATTTGTTAAAAATAAGTTGAAGCAGTTACAATTTTCAGAGTTCTTAGCATTGCTGCTATTTGGGATAAAACTCTGTGCATCACAGCTGAGAGGTGAACTGCCCAATCGTTTTATAAAAAGTGCATTCCTTAAACTTCCTAGCTGTTTTTAAAACGCTAACCAATACGCTTCTTGTGCTTTGCACTAGTCAATAAGTAGACATTACCTTACTGCTGCTTTTTATCTCCGTGACGAAGAGTATAAATAAAAAATAAAGACTACATAAAATATTGGTGAGTTGATGCTGGAGTGCTGTTTCAACTTGTTCTTTCCATAATTATAGGAAAGACAAGTTCCATTCTTAGGGGTTTTTTTTCAACTTACTAACGTGTTACTGGTCATGATACTGAGTAGTATTTATAGCACCAGTAGCCTGCAATCCTTTGACTAACATTGTTTGTCTCCTGAAGTGCAGAAGCAATTGAAGGAAGAGGCTTAGCCTGTGCTGTAGACTATTTGTGTCTCGCTTTGAAGTTTCTTCTGATAAGAACTTATCAAGTAGCCATGTACTGACAATGACAGATCTGTCGGTTGGGAAGCTTTGGCGATTTCACTGTGTGAATTGAGAAGAGTGATTTTAGTATCTGACTTGAAACTTCCGCATTCGAGAAAATCAAAACCCTCTCCTGTCTCAGAGTTCATTACTGTAGAGATCTAGCTCTTTCATGAGCCTAGGATGAAGCTCTTCCCCGTGTTGAATAGTAAGCCAGGGCAGGGGAGAGGTACTTGAAGGGGAACAGATAAAGTACTGTCTGTCTTCTGGAGCTTCTTTTAATCATCACTTGCCTGACACAATACCAGACATTGGTGTGATATGTACAGAAAGCATTATGTACATACAATCTTACCATGAATAGTACCCACCATGTTTGGAAGGCACAATTCTTCAGGGAAGCTTAAAATTCCTATTGTTTAAATAGGAATTAAAGTAATACTGAAGCCTTTCTGATCTCTTAGAATATAGAATAGATGGTGTGGTGGGAATTGGCTCTTCAATCCATTAAAGAATTTAAACCATCTACAAAACTGATTCTTGCGGAAGAACTGCCTAAAGACAAAACATACAGGGATGTTCCAGTTACAGGGATTGAAGAAAGGAAACATGACAGTGGGTGGGATAGTAAGACTCTAATTGTCAGTGTCCAAATGAATGTAAATGCTTCACTTAAATAATAATATCCATTCTTGATATACAAACTTCTGGTTTTTTGTAGGCTTCTCTTTCCCAAGTTCTTGGACCAGTGTTCTCAAGGTATGTGTCGCTTTTCTTGACTTAGAGCTTTACAGAACAAGTAGCTGAGCCATGTGGCCAAATAAATACACTGTAAATGCATGTAGTCAAGGGATCATGGTAAACTCTTGGAGGTAAGAACCCTCTGTGCAAGACAGACAATCTCTCTCTGCACACGTTATTAAACAGCACAGGTGCCTGGAGGAGATGCAAGTATATGGAGCATGATGCATTCTGCTTGTCCTCACCTGGAGGATGGGTTTCCTAAGACCATAAGTTAAACTGCTTACCTTGAGCTGTTGTAACTCGTGCTGTGTTGTTAATCTAGGAGCAAAATGGATTGCATTTCAGTTCCATCCTCTTTTGGGGAGGCACGAGGAAATGGAGCTCTCCTTCCTGCTAGTTTAGAAAAGGGAAAAATGAGCTGGTTACCTCATCCCCCATATCCTCTTCTTAATGCGGTGTGGAGGAGCCTTGCAGGGTTCATCTGACACTGCAGCAGACAAAAAAAGCTCACTTGCAAAAGAACCGTTTCTTACCTGCATGTTCAGTTTTATATCCTGACTCTGAGATGCTTCATCCTCCTTGTCGGGCTCGGAACTCAGAACAACTGTTGGTGTAAAAGGGATACCATCCTTCCTGACCTGCCATCAAATAAGTGCTTTAAGTTCCAAGAGCAGAAGCAAATTTGGCTATAGCACCTTTACAGTTGTTTTTAACAGTTATATTGCCGACTTACAACATTAAGACCAGTACATGTGGTTTGTGTATATGTGAGAACAGATCTCTTCAGTCAGATAATCTTTATTTTAGACAGACTATAAGCTCAGCCTGAAATTGGGTAGACCAATGACAGCTGAGGTTTTTTTAAGTTGCTGTCTGACTGCAGTTACTGCAACATGACTTTCTCATCTTATGCTCATGTTTTCCCAAATGAACTGCAGGACTGTAAATTTTGTGTTTGCGTGTTTGTGCAATTTTTGTGTTGGCATTTAAATGCAATTGTCAGAGCAGGATGCTGTGCTCTTCTTGTGGCTGTTTAGACTCTGTAGAACTCTTATTTTGCTGCCAGAATTATGTCACCTCTCATTCATGTGTGAATGGAGCCCAAAAGAATGAAATCTGAAAGAACTCAAAAGAATTAAGTTGCAAACAAGCTGGAAAGTATGTACATGCTATTATAGAAATCAGTATTTTATTCTTATTTTGAGAAAAATGTTGGTGCTACAAATTGGGGAACTGACCAATAGACAACTCTCGTGGTTATAGCCGTAGGTGAAATGAAGAGAGCAGGAGAATGTTGAGTTAAGAATATAATGAAGTATCTCTAAGTACTGAGAAGTTAGGAATGCAAGCATGCCTTTTTATTTTATGAGAGAATAAAAAAAAAAATACTCAAAGCTATCTTATTTCTTTCTTTATTTTAAGTGCCGTTGTACAGACCTGACTAGGTGAGAATTTCTAATTTTTCAGGGAGAAACTAGAAAATGCTTATGACAAGCAAAGCTAATGTCCTTACAGTCCAAACACTGAAAGAAGGAAAAATACCGGAGGTTAGAAGAATGTTCTGGCAGCAAAATATTTCTGCGTGTTGCAAGGTTTTATCGTTTAGTTTTCAGATACAAAATGTGACATTAGATGGCCTAAAGGTCTATTTGTGTAAAGCAAATTGTTTCACATGAATAGGGGCAATTTTTGTGTAAAAAGTTTTAAGAGGAGAAGTATGCTTTGAACTGAGGTGCGATACAGTCTTAAGCTTCCCAGAGAAATGCAGAATTGAGTCACATGTATAGTAGAGAATTTACTTCTGCATAATTGAGAATTCAGTTCTGATGCCACAATAGTAATATTTAATAAGACATCCCCTTTGAGAGATACTTGTCACATTTTTTTTTGTCACGTGCCCTGATATTATTGTTTATGTTACTGTAGCATCAGTGGGCCACGACCATTGTCGTACTGGGTGTTGTACAAACCTGAAAACAGAAACTTGCCATGTGGGGGTAAGAAGAGACAAGTATGGGTATAGGCAAGTCGGAATTAATTAGACCTTTGGATGCTTACCTTGTCCAGATAACTGTCTTGCAAATTCTAGGAGCGAGTAGGGTTAGCCTTTTGCTGCTGCTTTCCAGGTCCCTTCTACTGTGTGCCTTCCTCTGTAACGAAGGGGTACCCGTGCAGGTTAGCAACATGACATCATTTTACAGGAGTGACACTTTCTGGTTGGAAAGCCCCAAGTCTGACAAACGGATGAGGATCAGGAAGAACCGAGAAAACCTTGAGCAGTGACCAAAGTTAGCAGTTTTGCTTTCTCTCTCCCTTGCGTACTTGTTGAAAATTCTCAAAACCATTTTTCCACCATCTACGTGCTGTAATTTCCTTTTGCTTCACTCCATTCAAATATGCCTCTTATTTTCTGTTTTTCTTCTTCCCCCCTTTCTAGCACGGAAGCTGTAAGATGACACCTTACTAGTCTAAAGGCACATTGGCATCTCTTGTGTTGTATGTGAAGTTCATTTACAGATTAAGACATCACCGTTGTTAAATATGCCTGTGGTACATTTGAGAGCAAAGAGGATACGTTATTTTTGTAAAGCATACATATTTTTATTCAATCCCTCCTGGTTTTTTACTGCTTCTTTTGAACGTGCTATTCCCTAGGCTGCAAAGACTTTTTCTTCTTTAGATGAGTGTATAAATAAGGAATTAAACAAAACTGAGTGGCCTTCAAAATGCAGTAGAAAGAGAGATGTCAGTGACAATTTAAGTAGAAAAGGTCAAAATTATTTGTTACTAAAGCTATGTAGGCATCTTCCAGTTCTCAGAAAGCTATTTTTCTTCTGGGTCACACTACCTGTCAGTCAGTTCAGAATCACGGGCTGTTGCCTGCTAACCCCGGACCAATTTTGGGGGGATACTGGCACCTACGAGCATTCTGCCTCGGTGTGTGCAGAGCCAAAGCTCGCCGGTTCCCCAGGCTCTGAGCAGTCTCCTGTTACTTCCAAGGCTGCGGGGGAGTTTACAAGCAAGAATGACAGCTAGTGCCCAAAAGCTGTTCCCCTTAGGCAAGCGCAAATCAAGTGGGGAGTGATGGAGAAAGAGTATGGGCGTGGAGCGTGAGGCAAGATGCACAGGTTTCTGATTTGTTAGATATTTTATTCCTTAAGTCTTTTTCTTAACTTTAAGCTTTGCCAGCTCAGTCCCTGACAATTACCTAGTCTCTCCAAAGCACAGTGGTTCTAACTGTAATGTATGCTTCAGAGCATTTATGTTCTGCAGCCTTCTTATTGTTCTGTGCCAACAGTACAGAAAGCATAACTATGCTTTTAATTAAACTCGACTTTTAAATCAATATTAAGTTTCGGGATATTAAGGAAAAAAACCCACTGTGCGTAGCACGCTCACAATGTGGTGGTTGTTGATTAGCTTATTCATACTTTTCATCTTCATTGCACAATCTACATAATAATTTCAAGCATGCATGTGACTTAAATTTCTAAGCGTGCTTGCTGTTCTCCCCCCCCCTTCCCTCCCAAATCTCTCTAAAGAGCAACTGTGTATTGGAGAAGACTTAGATGTTTCTGAAATTGGAGTGGAAACTTCTGTGGGAGATTACAAAAAGAGGAATACTAACGATGGAAATTTGCTTGGCTTATTATTAAAATTCTTGTTTGAAAGAGTCAGTGATACAGGTAACAGTGACTGCTGGAAGCATATGGTAGAATGTAAGTACCCCAGAAACATTTGGTATAGAAATTTCTGTGTAGAGAAGCCTCGGCAAGGATTAGTGGACTTTAATGACTTCTGTAAAGATCAGAAATAACTGTAGGCAGCAGATCACGGTGTGAACCACATTACATACTCTGCTTTAAATAGTGTTGAGTTGGGGGCGGGGGAAATGCATCCTGGTTCAGTTGTTCATGGCTATTTGAGAGTTTACTGTTCCGTCCTACACTCTACTTGTAGTTACGGGGAAGTGTCTGAAATGAGCTGCACACGTTGAGCAAAGAAGTAGCATTCCTTACACGTTCTGAACAGTACTGACATCCTGGGGAGGCCTGAAGAGTTGGCACTGCAATCTCTTTGAGGAACTAGGCTCAAATTCATTCTGGTGTAACACCTCCTTGATATAATTGGAAAGCAGAGATACTGTAGCACTGAAATTAGTTGGATGATAAGTGCGATATGTCATTTCACATTTTGTCCCTAATGAGAATCCCTTCCAGTGCCCAAGGCTTGATGGCTGTGAGCGTTGGTGTGTTATTTCTCATTGCCTTCAGAGGCATCTGCAGGAGCAGCGCTTGGTTCTCACTGAACGTGAAACTTGTCTTATACCTGACAAGGCAGCAGGTAGAACATGAAGACTGTGTTGCCATCTTCAAATCTTGGAAAGATTTTGCTTTAGAAGAGTAACCACTTCTTCAGTGAAATTGGTGGCACTAGGTGCAAGGTGAAGGGATGCTGTTAAGCCTGAAAAAGGAATTGCTTTTCTAGTGACACAACTGAGTGTTTTGGGGAATTGGGGCTCGGGAAAAAAAATTCTGTTGGTTTTCTCTGTTATCTTTGTTAGGTGCCATGTGGGTTGAGACTTTCTGTCTGAATATCATTTTGGGATCTTTTTTTAAAAGCAAAGAAAAAAAAACAACAAAACAAAACAAAAACAACAACAACAACAAAAAAAAACACCAAAAAAAACCACAAACAAACAAACAAACAAAAACTAACAAAACCCTTTTCCTGTTTTTGGAAGTGACAGCTGTCAGAGTCCAAAATACTGATTTTTAGCTGTTCAGCCGATCTTTCTACACACTGGATTTGACAGGAGGCTTTAAACATTTGTGGTTTTTATTACACTAGTCCTAAAATTGATTTTCCTATGAATTTATTATTTTAATTAATTTTTTTTTATTAATTGCATCTAAATTATATCTGTTAGATGAAAGGTTCCTTGCTTTTTTGTTGTTGTTGTGTTTTTTTTGTCTTTAATAACTTCAATGTAGTGAGATGGAAGGAAAATGAGAAGAATGGCTGTTATATCACTTACTTGTTTATTGCTATTGCTCACTGTTGCATACCTGACTTCTGGAATGTATCCTCTGATTTCCTTACACAGGACTAGTGAGTAATGTGGTTTTCACAAGTCATGCTACAGAGCAGAAGCATCCACTCCTTATGCAACTGCAGAGCCTTATCCGGGCGGCAAACCCTGCCGTTTCATTCATCTTGGCAGAAAATGGAGTTGTAACTAGGTAACGTTAATCACTGTCCAGGATCTGTCACTTTTGGCAGATGGGACACACGCATTTAGAAACATGTACTCCCGTGTTTTACTCTGGTAACTTATACAAAGGAGATGCAGATTTTTCTTTGTTGTTTCTCGTGAAAAAAGGCATCTTCCCTTTACATTTATGGTCATATAAATATAGGGATTAGGAAATGTATGTTTTTGTTTGCAGAGCATGACTTATGTTACGGTCATAGTAAGGGAAAAATACTCTGAAGTTTACTGTTACTAGCACTTTCTGTTTAATATAAGTAGGATACAGATAGTGGCCATTTTATTGAACATATATAATTAAAAATGTTCATCTTTATCTCTTTATAGGAATGAGGATATTGACTTAATTCTCTCAGAAATCAGTTTTTCAAATCCTCAGATGATGAGAGCTCGATATTTAATGTATCCTGGCTGGCAAGTATCTAGACTGAGAAATATTAAAACTATTTTTCTAATTAACTTGAAGATGAAAAAGTCTCACTAACTTAATTTATATATATTTTTTTTTCAAGATTACTCATTTGGAATGGGCAGTAGCTTTGTAAATCATTTTAAAAAGAGAGCTGATGAGTATTCTTAGTAGATACACGATTGCTGTCCTTTTATGGGGAAAAAGATCCTTTCTGGACACCATTTAAATCAATGGCAAGATTTCTGTTGCTTTTCAGAAGAGAACAGAACCCTCTGGGAATAAACTGGGAAGGATTGGGATGGGTGAGGTCAATAATGACTAGAGTAATTTCATTCTGACAGCTATTCAGCCTTACTGGAATGAACTTGCTATGTCAGTCTAGCTATTAGCAGAACAATTATTCATAAAAACCAGCAACCTTATTGACAGGCTTGGCAGAGGCTAAGGGCGCAATAATACATGGTACCAAGCTTTCCATTTAATACTGAGTGATATTTTTTTCATGGTTCAGGGTTCTTTACACATCTTGTTGCAGTTATCCATGCTGCACCTATTTGGCAGAAAACATAAACCTGTCAGCCATTATAACTCCTGGCTGACTGTTTTCTACTCTAGGTTTATAGTGCTGGAAGCACGATTTATTTACCTTGCCTTGCCAGTCCTGTATGTATGTATATCTTTTTATTCATAATTCTTGCTCTAAATTGGATGCAAGTAAGGCTCCTAAAGTAAACTGGCGCAAGGCTTGGGATGTCAGAGCTGCTTGTGGATTGCATGAAGCCGAAGGGAGAGAGAGAAAGCAGGAGAAGAAAGTATTTGAAATTTTTGGATAACTGTTAATCTGTGTGATGACAGTATGCAAGAATAGTATGTAGATAGTATGTAAGAAAAAAAAAAAAAAAACAAAAAACCAAAACACCATAGGAGGAAGGGGCATCGTAAGGAATCCTGAGCACTTTGAACAACTTAAAACTGTTAATATCAAATTTTCATGGATTATTTAGAGCAGAAAGCTTAGTATTTTTCTTCCTATGAGCAAGGCTTACCTGTGGTGAAACAATAAATGTTCCTTTTAAGAAGTTTGTTAGATGGAAAGCACAAGCGTGTGTGTTTTCTGTCTGTTGAAGGTGTGTGCTTCTTTTTGTCTTAAGGTATGAAGGCAAATATGGAGCTGGGTCTGTCTTCCCTCCAATGGTTCAGATCTGTGTATGGTTTAATCGTCCTCTAGAAAAAACACGATTTGTGACCAAATGTAAAGGTACAAATGAACTTTGACTGACTTGATTTAAATCCAAGTTTGAAATACTGAGAAATAGAGGGGAAGGAAGGCACTGACATAGCAGTTATTTAATTACTGCTGAAGTAAACTTTTAATTGAAAATTCAGCTTTCTTTCCTTAAAGTACAGTAAATTATCTTCTTCAGTGTTTTCTCTGGAAAATTGGCCCATGATTTTGTTCCAATTAAAATCTAATTTAATTTTTGGTTTCTAGAGTCTGACACGCTTATCTTCATGTGTTTGCTTTTTATTTTATGTTTAATTTTATTTAGTAGTGTTAAAATACAGTTTATAAGTGACCATCAGCTTCTACTTTTTATGCCAAATAATTCTTTTCAGTTGCTACAAAATAGGCTCAACCCTGTGTTAGACTAGTAGCGCAGATATATAATCATGCCTTTCCTTCTTTCCTTAGCAAAACAGTGTTAAGGAGCACCATTTTACTTTCCACACACACTGTAAGCATTCATTATGCCAAACAGATAATTATTATTCCCCACCATAGCAAAGAAATGAGAACATATAGAAACGTTATGTAGTGGGGCTGCGGGGGACGCTGCAGCTTCTTCCCCTGAAGCACTAGGATGTGGATTAGAGTCCTGTAGCCTAGGTCTGACCAGAAGCTACACCAAGGAGAAGAAAAATAAGTGAGATAATCTATTTGTCTTCTATTTCAAACAGCAATTAAGTCACTGCTCAAGCCAAGTCCTTTTTCTGGAAACATTTATCACATCATGGGTAAAGTTAAGTTTTCAGGTAAGGGCAAACTGCTACTTAGGCGTTGTCTTGTGATTGCACTGCACGTATATGTATTTGAAAACTTTGTCCTGTATTCTGTCTACACCTATGTGTTGATGTTAAATTAGATTAGCAGTTATCAGGACACTTCTTTCTTCTGTCTTCTCCTTGTTAGATTCTGACAAAGTGATTGAAGTCTGTCACAACACATCATCTAATTCACTAAGCCTTGTGCCTGTTCAGGAGGGGCCAACTCCTCCTGATTCAAGAAGCGATAACAGAGATTGCAGCAGTCAGCAGGAGTGCTTCCTCGTGTTCATTGGCTGCTCTCTTAAGGAAGAGGATATAAAAGACTGGCTCAGAGAAACTGCAAAACAGGTTTGTGGGCATGTGTACTTTTGTTCAGTTTGATCTGTTTGGCTTTTCTTAACGACAAAAGAAGGAATCCTAGTGTCTCCATAAAACATTAAAAAAAAATAATAAAAAAAAACAAACCAAAACAAAACAAAACAAATCTCCTTTCTCTTCCACCAAGGCATTAGCATTCCAGGGTGTAAATGTATTTCAGAAAGAGGACTAACAGTTTGCAAATGTGTATTGTAATTTGTGTATTGTTTTAATATCTGCTACAGCTAATTCACGGATTGATCTGCTCTTGAATGCTTGAGCAAATGGAGAATGTCCAGAATAAACACAAAATGGTTTAGCTGAGACACGATTGCCAAAAGCTAAAGTGTAGCATGAAATAAATCTTCTTGAAGTACCTGGACACTGCAAAGCTGAAAACCTGTTTTGATTCACTAAATTAAACCTCCTTGGAAGTAATCCACTGAAATGGAGGGTATATTTTTTTTTCGTTTTTGTCTTGCTTAATTTGTCAAGGGCGCAGCTGTGTAAGGCTTCATGTATTTCTGCATGGCTCATGTACCTATGCAGTAGAAGTTGGAGTAGGGAACGGGGAACATGCACGTTGTGAGAAGCCTAGCAAGCACGTTTTTGCCATTGTGGTGTGTTGCTCACTTCACACAGTGAGTGGCACGACCTGACCAGGAGTGCAGGACAGGATGGTTCGCTGCTACATAACCGAGAAATACCAACAGGTATTTTTGCCAGGCTGCTCGTCAAGGTCTTAGGAAGTGAGTCCTGAGGCTTGATTCAGAAATATACTTGAACAAAAACCGTTCAACCATACAAATTGCATATTTTAGCACTCTAGTTGGAACTTGAGCCTATAGTTCCAACTGTGCCCTTTTGTGATGGCCATTTTGGAACATTTGTTAGTTAAAAATGCTCATGGTCACCTCTTTATGGCTTAGAATTCGCATAGTATCTCTAAAAAGCTGTTCAAGAAGGGAAAAAAGCTTCCTGCAGACCGTTGTTGGAGCTGTTTCTAAGCCTCTTCATGTTCTCACCTCTGTTCTCCTAGTAGGTTGTGTTACTTCAGGGAAGTATACATATATTTTATATATATGTTTTTATATTTTTATATATATATTTTTTCTGTGATGATAACTCATGCTCTGTACATATCACATGGGTAATATATGGAAACAAATGCTTTTGACATATAAGCAAGCACTCTGTGGAATACAATTTTAATTTTATGAACATAAATGCTACTTCAAGTGTGAAGTGCTTCCTCGGAGCAGTTCAAGACCACAGATAGTCTGTACAATCTCACTAGTCATGGCTAACAGGGTTTCAGATAGTTCTGAGACTTACTGCATGCTGCATGAAAATAATGAATTATAAAACTTTTCAGACTAAAAACTAGATTGTTTTTCTATTCCTGTGCCAATTTTCTTCATTTTTTTCAGTAAAGCTGTATTTAAATTGCATTGTTTAAAATACTTTTAGAATTTGTCATTTTTACCGGTGTTTTATGTAAGATCACTTCAGTTTTACTTTTGTTTTCAGAACCTAGTTGTGAGTGCCTTAATATAATTGAATAATTCTGTCTAGAAAGGAATTTTTAAAATCCATGCTTCTAAAAGGAGTACTTCTGTGCCGGGCTTGAGCATGATAGCATGTGATCATAGGTTTCACTCTCGTTATCCACATTGTCAAGAAAGAACTTTCTGGTTTGTGGTTTGGGTTGGTGGTTTTTTAACATAACTAAACTGTAGTATCACATTGTCACTCAGTAGGTATATAACTATGGTCTAATTCTTTGTACAGAAGCCTCAGAGGAAAGCCCTGAAAACCAGAGGAATGCTAACCCTTCAGGAAATAAAAAACATTCACGTAAGTAGAAGCAATTAATAGCAAGCCCTTCCTTTGGCTGATTTTCTTAAATATCCATTTGTTATGATAGAGCACTTCCCATACCTGCCGTAACAAGTGTGCTGAGCACTAAATTATTACGGCATTTACTGTCTTTTGATAGACTTGAAACACAACTGAGGCTGTCCAGGAGGGATTTGAGATAGAAATCTTGGTGTTATCCCAGAGCTTCAAGTTAGCTCTGAAAAGTAGGGAGAGGTGTCAGATGTTTGACAAGCATACTCTTGTGGTTGCTGGTCCTTTCCCATCTTTTCTCCCTGTTCTGTGCTGTGCAGGTTGTCGCTTGCAAATTAGGATCTCAAATGCCTAATCCTGCCCTCATCAACTACCTGTAGGTTGTAAGTGCTCTCTGGAGTTGGGTTCCCCAGAGTTTGGCATGGCTGTGACGCCCCTCGTCCTTATGGATGTCATTTGTCATACAGAGCGCTCCTTTATATAGCCAGGAGCTATGCCTTCCTCCCTGGCTGTTAAGTTCAGCAGAAGGAATTGTTATTTTATCTGTCAAAGCTTTTTAGGATTGTTCCTAAGCAGTTTTGAGGTTTTAATGTCCAGTATATTCTTTCTTAATGTAGGTGAAGCGCCACCTGGATCCACTTCCGGCTGGTTATTTTTACAATGGGACTCAATTTGTGAATTTTTTTGGTGACAAAATGGATTACCATCCATGTATCCTTTAAAATGCGGGGGGGTTTTGGTGAAGGTTTTAGGTAAGCAACAAGCTATGCAAATCTGAAATGTAGACTGTCAAAGCCGATGACACAGTGAAGAGCCAGTTTGATTTGTAGGTAGTAATATGAAGCCAAAAGTTTTGTTCCTTAAATCTGCGCATGGCTACTTGCCATTTAAAGCTTACTGTTAAAACACTTTTTCAGAGATACGATTTAAGAAGCAGAATAGGAGCAACAAAACAATCCCAAACCATACATGAGCTCACGCAGAGAAAAATTTATGGACCACAGTTTGTCAAAGAAATATTTTTCAAACCAGATAGTGCTGTAATATTGCTTAATGCCTGGTCATGACTGATTAAAACTTCCAAGTGAATATAATTTTGTGTGCGTGCACACACTCAAGTAAACACAGGCAGGGCTGGTTTAGGTTTTACTATGGTATCCTTTTTTGTGCCACATTTTGCAGTGGAGCTGATGTTAAATGCTGATTGCTCTCATTTTGTAACTCAGCATGAGAAAAACCTTACTGGATACAATCCAGTAATATGAACAGGGTGTTCAGAATTAGGTGTGGAGTTGCATTTTTTTGTAATCACTTTTTAAACTCATTTAGGCAAGCAAAACCTTATTTTAAAACTACTTCAGCGTACAAGCAGTGTGATTTACTTAAGAAATTGTGGCATGTACACATCTGTAAATGCACTGTTCTTGCTGGTCTTATTTGGTGTCAGTTTATAGAACACGACCTACAGCTGAAGTAGGGTCATCTGGATTTCTTTCCAGAAATTATTTTTATTTTTTAATTTAAACCTGATCATATTTTTGTCTTTGGCAAGGAACGCCAGAGTAATACTAATGTTCCAGTGTGTTTCCCGTTCTTTTTTCTTGTTTTCATATCTTTCTATTGCTTTTGCCTTTATTATCGAAATTTCAAATTTGGTTTTATATTCCCAGTTTACTTTTCACTTTTAACTTCGACAAACTTTACAAAAATCTTAGTGGATTCTGTGATTCTATTTTGGAGTAAGAAAAACAGTTATTTTCTATGCCCTGTGGAACAACTTTAAAATTTTAAACCAGCAGACTTCTGTCTGCAGGGTAAGCTCCTAGTTATGGTGTACTAGCAGAAAATAGCCTAGCAGCAAACTTGGGCTTCAGTATTCACTGGACCTTTACTCCAACACCATCTTGGTGTTTGGCAGTAAAAGATGCAGGCCCTGGTCAACCACTTCTGGATTATGGAAATGTTGGGCAGTTTTGTAGACTTCCACTTATCCAAAATAACTGTAAACATCTGCAAACCTGCTGTAGTTTTGCTCTTCTTATATTCTTCCTCTCGATTGGGAAATGTCTATTGTGCAATTCCTTTATTCCCAGGAATAGAGTTGTGGTTAGGTCTGACTGCAGGACAACTGGAAGATAATACATTGAATTTCTGCTTTCAGTAGGGGTCCCTGACTGGCACGTCCTTCAAACCTGTGTGTTCTTTTCTAATCAACGGTGTTTGCACAAATGTTTTTTTTTCTTAGTTTTTCAAAATCAGTAATGGACCAATTCATGAATGATTACTTGGAAGAAGCCAACAGGGAAATAGAGAAGTACAACAGAGAACTAGAAGAACAAGAGTATCATGATCTCTTTGAGCAGAAGACATAAGCATGTGCGTTCTGTGCGTTTCCGAACCACCTACTGTCAGTAACCAAAAATGCTGTTGTCCTTGCTGGTTAACTAGAAAATTAAGTGAAATGTCAATTTTCAGCACTCCTTTTAAAACTAAGAAATCATTCCTGTAAGGTTGGCATTTTAATATGGTAACTGCTTAGCTGTTTGTACTGGCAGGTTTGCTTCCACTTCACCTTAGTTCCAGACTGTAAAAAGCATCCCATGGAATCTCTGGCTAGTAGTGGAAACTTATTTAAAAGAAGAAGAAAAGAAGCAAAACTGTATTTCCTAGTAGGTCAGAATGTAATCATGGAATTGGTCCGTCATGCAGATAATCAAACCACTTCAGTCTCTGTGTGTCCCTTGAACCTTGTTGCACAGGAGCTTTGAGCAGTGGTATCCTTCAGTATGTGGGATTGGAGGATGTTCCTAAAGCAAGAAATGGGGGAACATTTAAAAAACTCGGAAGTGTACCCAATCCCACAGTTTTTAGGGTGTTCCCAAAGCGAGAAATGGGGGAACGCTTCAAAAACTTGGAGGAGTCCCTAATCCCACAGCTGGTGGGGTGTTCCCAAAGCGAGAAATGGGGGAGCAATTAGGAAACTCAAAGTACCTAATCTCACAGTTTTTAGGGTGTTCCCAAAGCGAGAAATGGGGGAGCACTTAAAAAAACTCAGAAGAGTCCCTAATGCCAGAGCTGGTGGGGTGTTCCCAAAGCGAGAAATGGGGGAACAATTGGGAAACTTGGAGTACCTAATCCCACAGTTTTTAGGGTGTTCCCAAAGCGAGAAATGGGGGAACACTTCAAAAACTTGGAGGAGTCCCTAATCCCACAGCTGGTGGGGTGTTCCCAAAGCGAGAAATGGGGGAACAATTAGGAAACTGGGAAGAGTACCCAATCCCTCGTTTTTTAGGGTGTTCCCAAAGCGAGAAATGGGAGAACATTTAAAAAAACTCAGAAGAGTCCCTAATCTCACAGCTGGTGGGGTGTTCCCAAAGCAAGAAATGTGGGAACAATTAGGAAAGTCAGAGTACCTAATCCCACAGATTTTAGGGTGTTCCCAAAGCGAGAAATGGGGGAACACTTCAAAAACTGGGAGGAGTCCCTAATCCCACAGCTGGTGGGGTGTTCCCAAAGCGAGAAATGGGGGAACAATTAGAAAACTGGGAAGAGTACCCAATCCCTCATTTTTTAGGGTGTTCCCAAAGCGAGAAATGGGGGAACGCTTCAAAAACTTGGAGGAGTCCCTAATCCCACAGTTTTTAGGGTGTTTCCAAAGTGAGAAATGGGGGAACAATTAGGAAAGTCGGAGTACCTAATCCCACAGTTTTTAGGGTGTTTCCAAAACGAGAAATGGGGGAATACTTCAAAAACTCGGGAGGGTACCAAATCCCACAGGTGCCGGGACGTTCCCAAAGTGAGAAATGGGGGAACACTTCGGCATCTGCGTTTTTCTGAGGGGACAGCACGTATCTTAACCTCTGCACAGTTTGAATCTGCAATGGAAATTTTGACTTTTCTAAAGAAAGATGTTTATACATTTCAGGGTGAAATGAGATAGGGGAAGATATCTTGCTTTCTTCCCATGGTTGTTATTGGTGGTCTAGAAAATATGACATGAATTGTAGTGATCTGCGACTTGTTGTTGCTTAGCAGATTATCTCTGAAGGATTCTTACTTCACTACTAAAAACTAAGTAAGGCAAGAGAAGAGCGAGATTCTTTAGTAAAGAATTTCTTTTCATTAAAACAACTTATTTCCAAAGGTAAAAAATATCAAAAGATATACTTGAAATATGAAATAACTTGTTTGTGAAACATTCAGAAGAATTTGCACGCCATAACATTTCACTAAACTGATACACCGGGTTTTAAATACTTGCGACAAAACCTTTACTAAACATTACTAAATTACATTGTAATAGGAATTCTGTCAACTTGTCCTTTAACTTGATTTAGTGCAATTTTAAGTGAGACTTCATAGATCACTGACCGGAGGATGATAAGGTACCCTACCAGCTACTTAAAGGTAATTACTGAAGCTTATTTGAATAAGCAGATTATTGTAGAATTCTGTGTGTTCAGAATGTAGTCAAGTGAAAACAGTCCCAGGAGGAATTTTTTATTTTCATATTCCCTTGCCTTAGGAACAGCTCAGCCTTTTAATACAACTGCAACTTTTCTTTTTGGTCAGATGTGTGTAAGGCAGTAAGAAATAGAATTAATAAGTTCTTACAGTACTCTTAAAATACTTACAACATGTCCACAGAGTCTTTTTGTGGCAGGAAAATGACGTTTAACTCCTGTCATTAAACCCAAGGCTAGAGACAGTTTCATGCCTTACTTAAGAAATATATCTTTTACCTTTGGAATATGAAATGACTGAAATTTCAATAGGCCTGTTAAAAACTGAAACACCTTTTAGGTAGATTTTCAGTACACGTTGCTACTAGCTGGCTCGGTGCCTGTGCTGTGGTGGTTACACAGTGCCGAGGTGGAATTCCAGGTGCTGCAGATTGGGATATAGATGTTGATAAGGTTTCGTTATTAGCTTTCCTACTAGATACAAAGAGCTGTCTGAAGTTAAGAATATGTTTTTTTTTTTTTTTTTTTTTGCACACCACGAGACTTTATAAACTACTTGTATCCTGTTGAAGTACAGTAAAAGCCAGTGATTAGTTTGTGTTTCTAGGCTTTCTGGGGTAAACCCATATTACAGGTATAGAGCATCATGATAAGGCTCGTGAGTTTATCTATGCATGGCTATACTTTAGTCTTAATATACTGTAGTGCCTGGTAGAGTAAACGTAGCTAGCAGTGAATTTGGGGGGGCTAGCAGGTGTTTACAAACTAAGTACAGTTGATTGCATGAAACTATTTATCAGGCCAGGATTATTAGAGTACAAAATTCTGGTTGTAACACTGCAATAAAAAGGGGCATTAGAAAATTATAATTAACAAATTATAGTTCTTTGCCAATAAACTTAGTGTAAACCCAGTGTGCTCCTTTTCAGTACAAGTTATCTAATCTGCAAAGCCATATTTCTAGAATAGTGGTATGACTGTGTAATGTCAGAAGAAATACCAGTGGTTGGGACAACGGGCCCTTCGTTGGTGCTTTGTCTTGACTTGTAAATCAATAACAGAGTAGATTTAAGTGCAATTGATTGAGCGATAGATGAAGATACTGTAGCTTATCTTGCTCTGCTGAACTCTTTTTAAGAACTCCAATTTGTGCAGCTCAAAAACAAATGTTGATGGGGCTAATTCATCTGGGCTTGGCGCAGCAAGTTGTAATTACAAGTGAGATGCCCCGTGAACAAAAAAGAAAGCAGTATTGAAAATTGGCGCGCTACTGTGCAAATTGAGCCGTTCCTTAAAAACTGAAACAGAAGAGCTCAGAACAAAGGCCTAGTATACTTATATACTGTACTGCATGCTATATGGTAATAGCTGTGTATTATGAAGACCTTTCACCATACTGGTACTATTTCAATTAATATATTTTGGTATGGAAATGAATTGATTACCTCAATTTTATTTTTCTTTTTTAGTTTTAAACTGTGACTTTAAAACAGAAAAAATACCGAAATAGTGAAACTGTGACAGTGGTATCCTTTAAACATAGTAGTGCCTTGCAGATGACACCATTTATTCACAAAGCATAAAATAAATGGATGTCAGGGGTTGTATTGCTTGCACCCTCTTTTTTTTTAAAGGAAAAACAGTTTTGGTGAAAGGACTTAATTTTAACCTAGTGAAGAATATTAGCACAAATGGTTAAACTGTTTAAAAGAAAACTCTTTGAGGACTAAAATATGTAAATGCCTGATGCTGCTGGTAGTTTAATAGCAGTTGCTGATTATTTTGGAGTTACTTCTAACAATCAGCAGCACTTTTCTTTTTTTTTTTTTAGAAGAGCGTAACTTTTGTACTCTGGTCAGAGATGTTTATACTGTGTCAAGCCCCAGCTGTAGGGTAATCTGGTTTCCTCACTCTTTTGCAGTTGAGGTGAGGGTTGAGATACTTGTAAGGATCTAGTTTTGAAAAATTTTATAGCTACTGTAAAACTCAAAAAAAAAAAAAAAAAAAAAAAAAAAAAAAAAGCACCATTTCTAAACCACAAATGTTTGGATACAGCAAAAGTGCCATTACACTGTTCCTTTTATCTTTTACTGCATTTTGAAAATTGGTAACAGTAACTTTGTGTCCAGGCATTTCTGATATTGTGAAGAAGTGCTGAGAGTCCTCAAGGGGTTTACATGCTTTGCTGACCTCCATGTTAGCAGCTTGTGGTGGTGTTTTTTTTTTTTTTTCCTCACCGAGAATGAGTGTGATCAGAAGTTACTGAAGTTATAGGGAGAAAAATGTGATAAACTTAGGAACATTTGCAACTTGAACTGCGCTGCAGTCTCGGAGTATTTTATATTAAGCTGTGCAATTTGGTATTAGTCCAATTTTACACTTTGCAATTAACAAAACTGATTGCAGAGAAGGATTTAAGTTGCACGTAAAAGTTCCCTAATAAGCTTTTTATTATTGTTTTTTAATTGAAACTTTCCTGAATTTGCACAGATTTAAGCTCTGGAATACTTTGGTATTCTTAAAAGGGAAAAATTGTAACTAGTATAGTGAATTGTAAACTGTGAGTTGTTAGAACCGCATTGTTGATCTAATTTTAGATTGTTTAAAAATGTACCTCAGAAAGCTAGTGAGAAATTGCTTCATTTTTACACAAGTCAGATACTAATGTAACACTTCTCACTTTACAATGTGCCAAAATTCACTTTTATACTAGTTCTCAATGCTTTAATATTTGCAACTTTAAGTTAAAAACTTGTATTTACAAACACTACTGTAACTTCAGTTAAACTGAATTGTGTGATTGAAGCTTTTTGCCTATTGTATTTATTACACAACTTGATTCAGTAAATATAAAATTACCTTTCCATTTATTTTTGTATTGTTTTACATGTTTATACCTGCAGTTTGTGTGACTTTTACACCTGTAACTCAGATGTGATAGAAAAAAACAATAAACAGTATCCATCTGCTGTCTGTCTTTGACTGCTTTAATAAACTCACTGTTTCCTAAACTTGAATTTTTAAGCTTTGAGCGGTTTTCTTTTAAAATTTGTTAGTTTTCTAAACTGGCAGAAAGGTGACTAGTTCATATGCTTATATGTTTATAGTTTCAGATTTAAGGTTTGGGGTTTTTTAAGCTGATATTTTAAGTTTAGAGCTTCGCACTTGAGCTTCTAATTGGGTAAAATTTAAAACTCATTGTAGGATAAAGGATATTAAGCCGCTTCATGCCTGCTGTCTCTGTCTTCCAGCAATTGTATGTAAGCATAAATTGATAGTTGCATATACACAAATGCGGGAGCTAGATCCTACTCCTTGTGTTTGTAAAAATGAGGATGCAGTTTCAGGATCAGCTTCTGCTGATCTCAAATCAGGCTGCCATTGAGAGGGCGATCCCGCCTCACCCTCCTTTTCGTGCCGTGGTTGCTGAGTGGGAGGCTGTGCATGAGTCAGATCAGTTTGCTGATGAAACCGAATCTGCAAATAATTTCTGTCTGTTTGACAACGCTTTTGCATTTTATTTTATTTTATTTTATTTTATTTTATTTTATTTTATTTTATTTTTGTAGGAAGGTTTCGCGCTCAATTGATTTCTATGAACTGTTTATGTAAAAACAGCGTGTTAAATTCAGCCTGGTTTGCATATTTCAAGTACGCACAGAAGAAATAGCAGCTTCTGATGCACGGACTGTTGACTGAAATCCAGGAGTTTTATTTTGCTATGCAACCGGTTCTGAAAAGCATCTTCTGCTCATAAATGCCCTTGGGCAGCATCCACTGCTTTTGAGCTGCTGAGGACAGGGCAGTTTCCTTTTGACTTGTTGGTATGTGCTGTCCACGCAACACTAAACGCCTTCCCTAGCGTTATGTAGTGATTGTCTGAGAGAAGCGGCCAGTTTATTAGACTGCAGACCCCACAGAATCGGTCACGGGTGGGTTTTGCCAAGAGCTTTTGGGTCCTGTTGCTGCAAACGTGCGGGCACATGTTCCCTCCTGGACCCGGGAGGGTTTCCACCATCCCTCACCTGCTTGAGCAGGGAAACCCAGAGCCTCGGCCATGGCTTACCAGGTGGTTATTCTTAAGATGCTCTTCAAATGCAGAAAAGTTGCTGAAAGTCCGTGAAAGAAAAGCAACTTTTTTTTTTAAATTTTTTATTTTTTTATTTTTTTTAAACCTGCCTGGATTATCTTTCAAGTGAGGGTTTCGCTCTTTGATGCGTAACCCCTCTCGCTGCCTTTGTGCCCTGGTTTCTGCATCTCCCCTTTGGGTTTTCAAGATTTAACCTGAGATCAGTTTGTGCTTGATTACTAAAAAGCAAAAGTCATCACCTCGCTAGGATTTTATGAGGCGCTCGTCGCAAAGAAAACGCTTTTGCAGAAAGGCTACAGAAATGAGACTGTCACCTCCGCACGTGTAGCTCTTCGGAGCTCTGGCCAGGAGGAGTTTATCTCCAGAGCTCCGCTCTTAACGGCTTGCGAGTGAAGAGGAAAAACTCCGTGGCCAGCGATGCGCTGTTTGTGATTTGGGACTTTCGAGAAACTACCCCAATAGTGAAATATTGGGTTATTTTTCTAGAAGCGAGGCGTGCCTCTTACCAGATTCACCGGGACGTTTAGCGAAGACGGCTGGCTTGACACGAGGTAGCGTTAAGCCATCATTTTAGCCTGAATTCAGGTGGTTTTCCTCCGCGCAAACGCAAGTGGCGGGTTTGCCGCGCGTCCCTGTGGCGGTAGGCACGGGCTGGTTGCACCCCAGCGGCTCCATCAGCTCTGTGAGACGCTTCACAACATCGAGAGCTCCGACCTGTTGCTCCCGTGCTTCTGTCCGTGTTGCAGATATCCCTCCTGGCCTTCGCACAGGCACGTTGCAAGAGTCATCTGGAGGGCTTAAAAGCGGGAAACGTCGCCTACAAACACAAGGCAAGTAAATCTATCTATTTATTTATTTATTTGTTGAATCCATTTCTGTCTTTGCAGTTTTATTAGCTGTACACTTGTAAGATTTTTTTTTTTGGTGGGGAAGCTTTTAAAGCAAGGGCTGTATCGCCTCTCTGCAGGCTCTGCTCACCACTGATCCCCCTGCTCCTGTGCGTCCTAGGAATTCTGTAAGACACAGGCGGGTTTTTCTACCTGCTGCTTTTGCCCACCCCCCCGTATTGTAATCCTGGAATGCTCCATCCCACTGGATTATTTTCCGTGGCAAAAATAAGGGAAAACCAATTTTTCTCCATTCCAAGAATACTCTAGCTTAAACCTTTCCAAAAGTGGTGGTCGTAACTGATAAGCTTTGACTCGCCCGATGGGCCGGCAGTGGTTTCTCCGTGGAGATCCGGGTTTGATTCTGCTCCTGTTGGCTTCAGTTTCGTGGCCGTTTAACACGGCTCCTGCAACCCGGAGGGGCGTTAAGGTGTGTGGGAAAGTACGAAGTTACGTCAACAAATCTTACGAGGAAACCAGGGTTTGGGGAGGAAACTCCTGTGCTACAGGATCAGAGGAAATATCCTCGCCTTGGTGCATTAGCAGAAGAATAGAGAGCAGTAAAAGCTTCGAGCAGGAGAGCGCACGGGGTGTGACGGTTTTATCTGCTGCCGTTCTCTGGGCAGCCGGCGCTGCTGGCTCGCTGCCGTGTCTCCCCCCGCAGCCCTTGCCCTCGCCTCGGGCCCCCATCCACCAAACGCTCTTCTTCAGGCCGAGGCTGTTGAAATGTCACTTTATTTTTAGCAGCCAAAACTGTGGAGGGAGAACGCGTAACGTTCAGAGTGCCGTGAGCACACTTATAACCTTGTCGTCTTTACGGTCTCCAGTTTCAGGAACAAAATACAAAGGTCAAACGAGATCTCCTCTGACCAAACTCCTGTGTAGGGGCATCCTTTTTTTGCTTGTTTCAAGTGGCTTATTCTTCTCCTCTCCCTCATTCTCTACTGACTGTGGAGCAGAATCGAACTTTTGGGTTAATGTGTATTTGCTCTTCTCACACTGCTGTTCAGCTTCAGAGCTATGGGTCCCGTTCCCCCAGAAATCCTTGTTAGATTCCGCTTAAACTTGAGGACTCCTGGCCTTCAGCTGCTTCTGCGTTCGGCCAACTGAGAGATTTTTTTACATGTAACGGCTCTCATACTCACACTTCAGTGCTGACACAGGGAACCTAACAGGTAAAATCTCTATTCTGGCAGATCAGGCAAAATCAAGCTGAGACTCAAGATCTTTTCTGTCTTAAAAATCTTAAAATTTGGGTTGGGTTGGGGTTTTTTTTTGGTCCAGAATAACTTCTTGCAGCCTGCAGGGATGGATGGGAGGGATGCACAGGTGGGTGACCGAGGAGCTACTAAATCTCAGTTGGGAAAGGACCTCATGAGGTTGCCTGGTTTGTCCCCCTTGTCATTCAGCCTGTTCCCTGTCAACTTGATGCTCTCCGTCAGTAACTCCTTTTCTAGGCAAAGGAAACGTGGAAGATCTCCCCTACCTGGACTTGGACAGTGTATTCGGTGTGTTTTCAAGATGGGAAGCTGTTAATTTGGAGGCCGATGGGGTTGGTGAAAGAGTCACCAGGTCAGTCGGGAGTTGGTTGAAGGTTTGAGGAGAGTGGTCGGTGCTGCAAGGACAGTCGGGCTGAGAGAAGGTTATTTTGTGGTGCTCAGGAGGAACGTGGACAGTGAACACTTTATGTAAAAATCTTTGTCACGGGAGTTTTTACACAGGAAATTAAGGATGTAAAGTATAGGAATGTTATATACAGATGAGGGTCGAGAAATGGTGAGGAATGACATGGAGGACTTTGAGCCAGCACTGAAAATCAAATGCTGAAGATATTGATAGAGGGATTTGAGCTCATATCGCTCAGAGAACCATGGAAGAAAAGCTGAGTGTGAGGCTGGTGCAAAAGCATCTCTGAAAAATGCAAATAGGTTTCTGGGGGGGTGAATGGTAACGATATTTCCAGTGTGGTAGGAGGTGACCTAGACACTCGTGTGCTTTTCTGGTTGCTCGTGCTCAGAAGATAAATACTCCAAAAACGTATAAGCAAGAGCCATCAGGGTGGAGGGAGATCCTGACTCATCTGGGGACGCTGCAAATGAGCCTTGCCTTGGCCTGACGGGCAGTGGCCAAGGGCAAACACAGATTATATGCTGGGAGAAAGGTCTCAAGTGACTGGTGGGAGCATCGTGCTCCCTTACTAGTAGGAGTCAGTGAAGAGCAAAACCCTTAAAAGCTTAAAATGCTTCAAAAGGGAACGGATAATGTGGATTCCTACTGTATGAGTTGTGTTTCCTAAGAGAGATGAGTTGGGTTTTCCTAGCTGAACCTGAGCACATACCTTGAGTCAGGGTTCTTAGGCCCGTTCCTCGCTCTCAGTTTTGGCAAGTCTGGTAGTATCTGCAGAGGTTTCCAGTTCTCCTCAGCTTTTCATGAGGTACTCCGCCTTCCAATGTGAATTGATCTGGAATTTCTTCACTTACGTGTCCGCGGACAAATGGTGCCTTGTTAGCTCCATAAATTGCTAGCCTAATTAAAGTAATGAATTCACAACAGGAATTGCATGAAAATGGAGCGCTTGTTAATTGAATAGCGTTGGGTTCGGCTCCCATTGTACACTTTCAACAAGGTGCTTGTGTGATTCCCTCCTATTGAATTTGCTTAAAATAAACCTTCAGGGTAGTTTGATGTCTTGGTAGGAAAGAAAACACCCAATGGGCAAGGCCTGGAGGATTTCAATAGCTTTATTGCTCCAGGACAGACGAAAAAAAAAGCATGGAAAGTAAAATCTGAGTGACCCATTCATGGCTAGGAAATCATTAGGCACACAATGTATTGTATAGATCACTGTAAAACCGCCCGACACGAGTTAAACAGGAAATTTATAATAGTTCAAATTGAGCCTTCAGTTAACCCCACCAAAAATCTTCTATTTTTCTGTGTTATCAAAGTTAGTTCAATATTTGCTTTATATACATCCTGTTCCGGACTTTGA